AAAATGTAAAATAGTATTATTAAATTTAATAATAACTATATATTAGTGGTAGTAGTAACAGTAATCATTGTATTATTAATAAAAAATATACTTAGATTTTTTTTTTTTAAATATCCTTAAAAGTGATCAAATAAGGGGGGAAAGCACTGCTTATTCAATTACCTTTTCCAGAACATCTCCACTGAGAGATGTGATTTGATCACTGGAAATCTAGCAAATACAGGGAAAACGTTTTTTTTCCGTAACCTTTTCCAGAACATCTCCACTACATCACTGGAAACAATCAGACAATAAATCAATCAATTAATCATCAAATATATATTTAAATTCTAGCAAATGGTAATATATTGCCAAAAAAACAAAGGAAAAAAAACTTGATAATTTCTCTGTGGTGGATCATATAAAATCCAAATTGTTGAGCTCTGGATTTTATAATGGGATTTCAATTTAAGTCTCAAGTCAAAGATCTGAGTCTAAGTTGAGTCTCATAATTAATTTGCGACAAGCACAACTCCAAGTTTAAGTCTCAGAGCAAAGTACTTCCTCTGCCATCTAAAAAACACAGAGAACAGTATAAGGTAACTATGTGCATTCGGTATATAATGTAGCTTGGACTCCATGACTGATTAAATTGGTTCACTGACAGATTAACAACAGGATGACCTGACTTAATCAAATAGCCAGCCGCATCAGTATCGTACATGACCCACGGATCTTCAGACAAGCTTGCAGTGTTTCCCTAACCTTTTCCAGAACATCTTCTCCACTACATCACTGGAAACAATAAAAATAGCCACACCATCCAGCCAAGCATTAAGAACGACGGCAGCGGGTGGTCCAGGGCCGGTTCGACTCACTCCCATGCACCCCCCTCCAGCTTCTTGGGTCCTGATTGATCTCACGGCCCATCGGCGGGTTAAATTACACTGCAGAGTGGCTTTGCGGAGAGACAAAGCTCCCGAGATTTCAGAGGCCATAATTCTTTCTGTGCCTTAACTTTGAAAAGGTGCAGCATTCAATTTCAGCCCTCGGCAACACTTTGCATTCGCTTATGAGTTATGACACAGCCATGACGTTTTTAACTTACTATACGGCCATGCTGGGGAGACCTGCGTTCCAATCAGGCTGAAGGGAGGATGGGGGGTGGGGGGAGACATTCTCTGTCAGCACCGAGCATCAGTAATAGTGACATGTAATACAGTAAATAAAAGTGGCCCATCTTCTGGGTGAAGCTAAAGACAAGTTGGCTGTCTTCCACATCCTACTTGCCGAAAGCATTGAAGTAAAGTCGGAAATGAAATGATTTACATGTACATTCATGTTTGGATCTCAGTCCAAAATGACATCCAGGCTCCCATAGTTTCCTGGCACATAGGGAATGGAGAGTAAGCCCAGGGAATGGCAGAGGCCTTTTGATACTGCAACTCTGCCGAACCAGCAACTCGGAAGCCAGGACAGCATGAGATCCGGAGAAAGAAAAAAAAAAAACAGCCAAAGCATAAAAAGACCAGCTGCTTAGAGATCATGGGCGTCAGCGGAAAAAAAAAAAAAAAAAAAAAAAAAACAGTCTTGTTAGAGAGAATATAATTGAACTTGTCTGGCAAGTAATAGCTTTTCCTAAAACTTCATGCATCCATTTAATGCTGATGAAAATATACAGTGAGGTAAATATGCAACTGAAACTAATCTAAAGTGGTTTAAGAGATATAAGTCCTCATCGATGACATTTGCAATTTACTCTAGCTTAAGAATCTGCCCATATTTATAATCATACTATATGTGATAAGCACAGTTTCCCAAGCCAACAGCTAAAAAAATTCACCATGCTAAAATGTAAATCCAGATTGCCTGACAGGAACATTTCAAGACACTCAAACTGTCAGTAAAACAACCTCCAAATCAAAGAACATACTAGATCTAAAAGTCACAGTTCTTTATAAGTCTAGAATTAAAGCACATCTCACTTCTCAGGAGGTGCAAAGATTTCGAAATAATATAAAACCAGCAATATGAAACCGCTGAGTTGTTTTAGAGTAAGCAGCTAAAAGTCAATGGCAATGTCATTGGAATTTCCGTCTAATATGCAAAAAGTTGCAATAGTCTGTAAGGTTCAATGAATTTCTCGATAAGATATGCTATTTGCATCTTAGGATTGTGATGTCATCCACTTTACAAGGACGGTAGGACACAAGATGCTATGTAACTTGACAAATAAATGCTTAGTTAAATAAAGGCAAAATCTTTCAGACCTTCTATGTTCCGATAACACGTCTGAGTTAATTGAAGATTTGTTTTTGTTTGAACAATCATTCCTTCTTTATTCCACGTTTGGAAACAGGCCAACGAGGCGGCAAAGGAATAATGGTGTTAATTAAGACACCTGTTCTTCTGTGAATTTACTCATTGCTTCCAATAACCCTAGATAATAATAAATGCTCTACATTTCAAAATTGCGAGAGAATAGAGAATATATAAAGGTATGATGTGCTTGTAAACAGACAGTTAATCAGATTGATTGGAAATGCCTTTACTATTGGCCAGCTGTTAAAGTGCTGGAGACAAGTTCAAGATCTGTCAAACCATGGGCTGGTATTGATGTTTGCACCACTTCAATCTCAGCACCCATTCACATCGACGCACTGAACTGGATGAAGACCTAAGCAGTTTTTGTCTGCTGTGCTCTGTAGAATTAGACCTGAATCATACTCTAAGCAAGTTTATTAACGCTAATACTTCTAGCTACTTGATTTCACACATGAGCGCATCCTGGATTGCAAGTCCAAACTTCAGTTTTCTCCTTCAGGTCAACCACTATCATGACAGAGCAATAGTTCCTTATAGAGTTGTGTTGACAAACAACTTTTTGTTTTCTCTCTATTCTGATAACATGACGATTCAAAATACAGTTTAAAAGAATATTTACCCCGAAAATTAAAATGCTGTCATTATTTACTCCCATGTTTTCTCAAACCTGTCTAACTTTCTTATGTGGAGCACTAAAGAAGATAAGAAACGCAATATATTTCTCTAAATATATGTTGTGTTCCATAGAAGAAAGACAGGCATACAGGTGTGGAACAACATGAGGGTGAATAAATGACGACAGGATACTAATTTTAATTCCAAAAAAGTTCTAAGGTAACTCTATCGTTACTCTTTTGGGTACTGAAATGTATTTCTGCCAAATTTGCTCAAATACAGACATAAAAGGTGGAATGTGTAATTTCCACGACAATAACGTCAACAAACGTTTTGTTTTAAAGGGTGCATATCATGCTTTTAAATCATTCATTTTTACATACAAATCATACATTTGTGGTCTATAGAAAGCTTTACTGCAATGCTTGGGTCTGAATTCCTCATTATTATAGCTCCACAGGACCCTTTTCTACCTCTTTTCTGATGTGCGCCTGTGAGCAACTCGTTTTGAAGCGGCCCCTTTAAATAAAAAGGAGATGTGTCACACACATCTCGCTCTCCAGGTCGCTGAGTTCACACTCGGTTCAACTCCACCCTGTTCAGCCATTTTTGTAGTTTGATTAGAGATCTACGATTATACTTTAGCTTCAAAGAACATTTTTATTCACACGTTAACAAAATGTCAACAACCATCAAGCCTTACATGTTCGAGCAAGAGCGAGCGATTTGAAAAAGATGATGACGAACCTGCAGAACAACGTCTTCATATGAAAGTCGACTATTTATCTTGTTAAAACAAGCACACTGACAAGATAAATGATTACGGTCTAATTTTACCACTAAAAATCTGTATTGATAATATGATACGTTTAGAAAAGCATCAGAAAACACAGCAGCTAAATGACCATTGATGAAACTCAAGAACAATAATACTGCAGACGTGTAACGTTACTTCAAAACAAAAACAAAGAAAGTCAAAAGGGACTGCTAAACCATGACCACCATGTGTTTTAAGAAAGTAAACTACTTTTTTTTTATTAACGATTTACCCCTTATTACCCCGCATTTAGATGAAGTCGATCGGCAAACCCTTCTTTATACTGGCGGAGATTGTTGAAGTTGGAATCATTGAAGTGCTTCAGGTCACGACATCCAACAACCGAACATTTTGACCTGCCCTCTCGTAACTTCTGCATCGTTGAGCTTGGACTACAAAATTGGAGCGAGAAATAACAATGGCGGATTGCTCGAAGTGTTGGGCCGGTAGTCAATGTCCTTTTTTGTCGGTTCCGCTTCAAATACCGTGACATAATTGTTCAAAAAACGTCATAGAGAACAGAAAAATCTGAACAGGTTGAAAAATACGACCAAAACAGAAATTAAACATAAACGAAGCACCTGGAGAGAATAATTTCATCTTTTCTGTAATTATAAACACTCCAAACATACAACAAAATGCATTTTAAGGGCTAAAAAAGTGAAAGCTTCCAAAAGCACTCCTGTTAAACAGATCATCCCGCCCCAAACTAACGTCATTGGTTGAAAAAACTTTGGACAGAGAAATATTAAATATTAAAAGTTTGACTTTTTCAGAGAAATCAAACTAAGAATGGCTTACCATAGGTATTTTAGCATAAACATTTTTGCTGTACTTCCAAAAATGACTATCCACAGCAAAGCACAAAACTTAAAACATGTCGACCAAGGATTTGTGTCTGTTTGTTTCTGGCCTTACTGACCATACTGACCATATTGAATGTCTGAATACCTTGTTTGAATCAGTCAGTCCAGTAGTAACATCATGCCATTGGTAATCCTAGAGCTGCAAAACCATCTGTAAGTTTAGTTGAAACACTTCAGCATTGAAGAACTCTGACACACAGAAAATAAACTGCTGCAGGGGTCAAGGACAACACAGAGGAAACGTGTGAAGCTAAAGTACACAGTGGGTTTGTGGCACGGAGCATCGGTTTTCCAGCAAAGCCGGCGGGCATTACATCGCTTCAGATAAAGTCTTAGATAGAAGAAGTGATAAGCACTCTGTGTGAACTGAGTTTGGGCTCGAAAAACAGTGACCTTACAGATTCTAATCCCTCATCTCTCTTTGCACGCTTCCCTCTGAGAGGAACTGCCAGAAGGGAAAACTTGAAAGCTGAAGAGAGTGAGGGAGGGTGCGTGAGAAAGAGAGTGTGTGAGAAACAGAGACATGCGAAGAGGAAAGAGTGTACAGAAGCAGAAAGGGAAAAAAAAAAAAAGCACAATAAAGTCATTTTTAGGTGCTGGCTTACCTGCACACAGTTCACAAGATGGGACGGTGAAGTGAGGATAGTCAAAGGGGTTGTGGGAGGAGGGTCCGGGCGGGTTGATCCAGCCGCTGACGGGTGGTCCGGGAGGGAGGAAGGAAGGATGGAGTGACAGGGAGCAGGGAGACGGGGAGGCCAGAGGGGGGATATGAAGCACTAGTCCTCTGTCTTTCTCTCTTTATCCCTCTGGCACAGAGGCATAGAGGCAGACACCAGTACCTGCAGCCACTCAAATAATAGGAGAGAAAAGAGTGCTCACATCCACACACGCTCCAGCACAGAGAGGAAAGAGAGAATGCCCCTCCCACTCCCTTCCAGGACCCAATCGCACACAGACTTCACCGGCAACGAATAGGAGCGCAGGCAGCCGGTGCCATGCCCTAGCCAATAAGTGCAATTGCTCATATCCAGTTGGAATAATTAGTCCGAGAGCAGCTTCCCTTCTGAAGGACAGACAAACGGGCGCACTTACCCAATAAGTGTGATTTAAGACCGCATCCGACATTAGAGTAATTAGATTGTGCCGCACTTAACCTAGCAGAATAACGGTGCATGCTCCACTGCAGAACTGGCAGAGGCGCAGACTTCACGGGAAGGGCTTTGGAAAGGTGCAATGATGTTAAGTAGGCAAAAATAATGCCTACATAAAAGGAGAAGGATTAGAAACCCTTACAACTGTGACCAATGTGTATTTATTTGTTAATAGTTATTATTACACTGATACTTCCAGGCTTTCATGTGCACCAAAAAAACGGTCATGTAATTCACATGGAATTTTATATGTTGGACTAAGAAAAAGAATCGTTATGAATTTCTGTGTTTTTAATTAATAATTAAAAATAGGTATTTCTTCTTGTTATGCAAATCGACACATACCGTAAATGTGTTGATTTAATTTTAAGAACTGATCAAATACGATTATATACAGCTCTGGAAAAAATTACAGCAAGAGATCACTGCAAAGTTTCTTTGGTTTTACTATTTATAGGTATGTGTTTGGGTTAAATTAACATTTTTGTTTTATTCTATAAACTTCTGACAGCAATTTTCCCAAATTCCAAACAAATATAGTCATTTATTTGCAGAAATCGACAACTGGTCAAAATAACAAAAAAAGATGCAGAATTGTCAGACCTTGAATAATGGAAAGAAAATAAGTTCATATGCATTTTTAAGCAACACAATTCTAATGTTTTAACTTAGAAAGAGTTCAGAAATCAATATTTGGTGGAATAACCCTAATTTTCATGCGTCTTGGGATGCTCTCCACCAGTCTTTCACATTGATGTTGGGTGACTCCTGGTGCAAAAAAAAAAAAAAAATTCAAGCAGCTTTGCTTTGTTTGATGGCTTGTGACCATCCATATTCCTCTTGATCACATTCCAGAGGTTTTCAATGGGGTTCAGGCCTGGAGATTGGGCTGGCCATGACAGGGTCTTGATCTGGTGGTCCTCCATCCACACCTTGATTGATATGGCTGTGTGGCATGGAGCATTGTCCTGGTGGATAAAAAAAAAAAAACTCCATGCCACACAGCCAGATCAATCAAGGTGTGGATGGAGGACCACCAGATCAAGACCCTGTCATGGCCAGCCCAATCTCCAGCCCTGAACCCCATTGAAATCCTCTGCTGTGATGGAATGAAGATGGATGGTCACAAGCCAATAAATATGAAAGGCGTTTTCTGCAAATACATGCTCTAAATGATTATATTTTTATTTGGAATTTGGGAGAAATGTTGTCAGTATAGTTTATAGAATAAAAGTACCATTCAAAAGTTTGGGGTCAGTACGATTTATTCGAATGAAACAAACACTTTAGCTCAGCAAGTATGCTTTTGTTTGATCAAAATGTATATTTTTTTCGAAAATTGTACTTTTCTATTTCAAATAATTACTGTTATTTTCAACTTTCTATTATTCAAATAATCCTGAAAAAAAAAAAATCATGGTTTCTACGAAAATATTAAGCAGCAACATTGATAATGAGTCATCATGAGCACCAAATCCCCATATTAGAATGATTTCCGAAGGATCATGTGACACTGAAGAATGGAGTGATGATGCTCAGCTTTGCCATCACAGGAATAAATTACATCTTAAACATACAAAACACAAAACTTTTATATTACAATAATAACAATATCACTCTATTATTTTTACTGTATTTTTGATCAAATAAATGCAGCCTTGGTAAGCATAAGAGAGTTTTACAAATCTTACTTTGTGTAGTTATTAATATATTATGGAAATAGTATAATATAAAATAATGTAATATAATAATGTAATGCAAAATGTAATTCATAAATTAATTGACTATAAAAAAATAAAAATAAAAAAATGCCATCTTAAAGCCATTCTGTGGCGGTAAATATACCCTGTTAATCGAAAATATAATTTCTGACTTTTCTCTTCCTCTGACTTTAATCAAAATCAAAGAGTCAGAATGCACTCATTTCATAAAGACCTATTTCTGTTTTCCAGATCGATATTCTGGCTCAGGTCTTGGCTTGAGAAATGATCAATGGTGAACTGTTAGAATGAAGAATGAAAAGCACATCGGCCAGCACAATCCCTTCACATCAGGAAGGACTGATGTGGGGACAAGAGACTTAATGATGTCCTAACAACTGCAAAAAAGGGGACCACTAATGTTACATCCTTTCAGAATGGCGCTCAAAGTGGCGAAACTTCTCTTAGCACCCAATTCAACTGACATCCAAGCGACAAGGCATTATTTCAGGGTCAGAGCTCCTAAGCCGTTCTCACTTTCTCAGAAGAATACGCACTTCTGCTCAGTGAATTTTATGCAGGGGTGAAATCGATGCACCTATCGATACCGTGCATCATAACATGAGCCGATATGCAAAGCATGAGCAAGCACAAACCTATAATGATTCAGCAGGGGTTCCAAACACAGCCCTCCCAGATATCAGCATGTCAGTATTTACGAGTAAAGTAGCTTAAGCATGAAGCTGACAGCAATGGTGAAATGTGCTATAGACTCTGGCACGCTACAGAGCGTAGGTTTTCCTCCAAGAGGACTGGGTGGGAGAGGACGGCCCATAAAAAATGCATGAGCAACAGGAGGACATGTCACATCAGATATGTTTCCAGCTGCAGAGATGCCGGTGTGTGGAGACCCTTAAGAGTGAAAGGTACAAGTGAATTCAGGTCTAAGAGGAGAGAAGTAAGGGGGAAAAGCACTTAACTTCCTCCGCTAAACCTGCCAAAACCATTGCTGCGATGTGCCAACAATAACAGAGATTTAGACATAAATCCATTGATGCACAAGATATTTAATGGCTTGTGTATGGCTTGATGTGTAAATATCCACAATCACTATAAAAAATAAAAAAAAACTAGCATTTATTCAGCCTGTATGGGCTGTCATCACACTTACTTCCCCAGTGATTTATATTTAGTCTGAGACACAGATCTGTTTCATTATAAAAGCATTTTTAACAATGGGGTTTTGAGAGCATGGCATACCACTGCCTTAGTCTACAATTTCAGAAAAGATATCTCATCAAATATTCATTAATTCTGGGGTACAATCATGCTTTAAATGTCATGCTTAGCAGGGGAGATGGGCTCCGCTTAGGCAAGAGGATTTATAACATGTGGCACTTATAAGTGGATGTCATTATACTGGGGTTTGAGGTCTTTAAACAGTGACTGACAATAAAAACAAACACATGTATTCATCAAGCACAAATAAATTGAGGTTTTGTTGTTTAAAATAGAGCAAATAATTAGTTATTGGCCTGTGACACAAACACACACACACACACACACGTGGGTGCACTGTGTATAATTATTTTGTATATATATATATATATATATATATATATATATATATATATATATACACACATACATGTATTTTTAAGAAAAAAATATTAATTTTATATAAAATATTTATATTTATATATAATATAAACTATATATAAATATATATACATTATATACATGAAAATATTTCTTAAATATACACAAGCATGTGTGTGTATGTGTATATATATATATATATATATATAATTCTATACAGTGCACCCACATATATTATGTAAACACAAACTTTTATTTTGGATGCGATTAATCATGATTTTATCCAAAGTTTGGATATCTATAGTGTTACTGTACATTGAACATTTTCAAAGAAAAAAAAAAAAAAACATTTTCAAAGGAGGGACATAAAGTCAGAGAGCTTTCTGAAAATGTATGTACGGTCCAGAAAGGAAAAAAAAAGACATCATCAAAGTAGTCCATGTGACATCAGTGGGTTAGATAGAATTTAAAGCATCGAAAATACATTTTGGTCCAAAATTAACAAAAAACTACAACTTTATTCAGCATTGTATTGCCTGTACAGTGTTCCCCTTTGTGTTTGGCGGTTTCGCCGGGTTCCGCAGGAAGTTAGAAAAAACAGAGGAGTCAAAGGTTATATGACGCCATAGACAGGCGACGAAACGGAAATATCGAAACGTCCCGAAATGGAAATAAAGAAACGTCCCTTTTTTTTTATTATTGTCAAATTAAACTATATTTTTCCGGATTTCAAAGTTGGGGGAAACTGTCGGGATAATGTAAGTACACATGTAATAGAAATATTTAACATAGATACAGTTATTTTGCTATTTTTAAAGCATAAAAAATACATATTGTGCCTTTAAACAATGCAAACAAATGCAAATTTGAGATAAAACATTTGCTCAATCAACCTTGCCAGTTTAGCTTGGTTTTAAAAGTCTTAAAATATGTTTTATCGTGGCTCGTATCGAATATTGAGCAAGTGTAATGATGTACCAGGTGAGCTACCAAGCAAGTTTACCATATCAGAAAAGCCATAGTAAAGATATACAGGGGTTGGACAATGAAACTGAAACACCTGGTTTTACAACACAATAATTTGTTAGAATGGTGAGGGCCTCATTTTGCATCCAAATACAGCACCAATTGACAGATAGAAGTCCTTCACAGTGACCAGAGGGATTATGAGCCGTTCCTCTTCCAGAACAGTGTCCAGGTCACTATATGATGCTGGTGGACTCGCTCCTCCAAAACACCTCAATAATATTCAGATCTGGTGACTGTCAGACCATGGGAGATGTTCAACGTCACTTTCATCTTCATCAAACCCTTCTGTCACAAGTCTTGCTGTGTGTGTTGGTGCATGATCATGCTGATACACGGTTTCAGCATCAGGTGCTCTTGATCCTCCAGAAGGGTTTGGTAGTCCTCGGCAGTGTCGTGTCCATCAAATACAATCAGGATTGTCATGATATTGGAGCTCAAACCATCACTGATCCACCCGTGCTTCACTCTGAAGATTGGCCGCCAGGCATATAGATGTGAAACCTCCAACATTGGCCAGTGTTTCAGTTTCATTGTCCAACCCCTGTAGCTGATTATGTGATGCAAACTTTAAAATGTATTTGTTTACAAATCACGAATTTACCATGCAAACGTGTTGTAGGGTCATAACATAGTATTTTGAAAAGATTCAAAGATTCAGTCTTTATTGACTGATTATCTGGCATGTAATCATAATTTGTGTGAACATAAATAAAAGTTGTGGTGTTTTACTGCTACAGTACTAGTGTTCATTTCAGCTGGAAACTGCAATTGTGTAGATACGTTTTTACAAATAGGTACACTCAAAAAGAAAAGCCTGTTTTTAAGATTAGCTAATTTCAATTGTATAGTACGATTCTATCAAATTGGATTAAATCATCCTTATATATTATTCAAATTATGAATTAAGAGTTTTGAATGAGTAAAAGAAACCAGAGATTAATAGAACATTTTGTATAAATCTTAATGGAAGAAGGGAATGGACCATTTCAGTTTATGTGATTTGTATTTAAAAAACAAAATACATTTATGAATACAAATCATGAAAAGTATATTATAGTACAATTAACTAAATCATCTCAAAAGATGAGGGGAAGTTTGATTCCTAATGACATGACTGCTTTGATGATGTATTTAAAATACATTTTCATGGTCGGTAAAAATATTTATGGATTGTAAATCGTCTCGGTTCATTTTGGACCCTGCTCATGTGGTTCAGTAAACTTCAAAATCTGTAGATAGCAATATCATTGCTAGTTCAACAAATAAGCCAATATTTTGCTTGACATCATTGTGAGTAATAAGGGTTATCATATTTCGATAGTCATTTGTCTGACTCATTTAAGCTGCATCTCATTGACAGTTTTGGCAGCTTCATATGCAGAGACGAGAGAGCAAGATAGTAAATGAAGCAGCAGCATAATCCACCTCCATAAAACTAACAGCGTTCATCGGCAGAGCATCTTCATTTCAGTGCCTCACAAAGACAGCATAAACACAGCACGTCTAACAGACATGGCTTTGCCTCCGCTACCAATGTAATTAAAGCCAACATCTTGTCCCGCTCTCGTATCATTACCGTCTGTAGACCATTTGGATGAGCTTTGTTATTACTTACTTGCTGCTAAATATAGATTTCCTGTGCCAGCGCTAGAGATTGCAGTCAGCTGCAGACTGTTCTTCATGTTTGCAGTCACAAAGACTAACGTGGATACTATATAGACAGGGGTTCAACAAGCTCTTTTGTATATCACCCTCTTTGTGTGTGTGTGTGTACTACAAAAGGTAATACAATGTCAAGGTTTATATTTAAAAATTCTAGTTCTGTATATATATATATATATATATATATATATATATATATATACGGGTGTGTGGTGACCAGGAAGCACGAAGAGACAAGGAGAACCGGTCAACAGGAATTTAATCAAATAACACAGGAGTATCAGAAACCACACTATACATAAACGAGAATGGACAAGGAGTGAGGAGAACACAAGGTTTAAATACACTAGAACAGACTAGGGGAACAAGGCACAGCTGGGGCAAATGGGCTCTATGCACGGCGTTATTTCCGGTGAAGGATTAAGGATGCTCGATAACTTCCGCCGATCATAGAGTCCAATGCAATACCGAGAATTTATATTGAATTTTATACTCCATGGTTATACTAAAGAAACGTTAGTCACAAAAACAGATAAAACAGACACCCCTCGTTGTGTTTATGCTTCTTTTTAAAATTATATTAAACAAACATAACTATATATAAAATTACATCTAAACGTATGTACGTTTCGTTTCAAAGACGGGAGGACAGTAAATATTGAAGACTCTGCCATAATCCCGTTTTCTCCGGTTTTCCTCCGCTTTAATCTACACAACCGGAAATGGACGAGCATCCTTACGTCAAATGCAGAACTTATGCGTCCATATAGCCCATTAACCTAACACAGGTGAAGGGACTGAATACAAACGAGGAGCGGGAAAATAGAAACAGGACTGAACCAAATACACAAAGAATGGGGGACCACAGGACACACATGTAACATTACGCCCCCTCCCGAAAAGGCGCGACCTGGCGCCGTAGAACTTCAATGGGGTTTGGGGGTGGACCAGGGCGGAGCAGGATGAGGACGTGACAGAGCAGGCTGAGGGAGTGACCAGGGCGGAGCAGGATGTGGGCGTGGCAGAGCAGGCTGAGGGCATGACCAGGACGGAGCAGGACATGGACGTGGTGGAGCAGGCTGAGGGCGTGGCCAGGACGGAGCAGGACGTGGACATGGTGGAGCAGGCTGAGGGCGGGGCCAGGGCGGAGCAGGCTGAGGGCGTTGCCATGATGGTGAAGACCCTTCAGGCGGCCACAGCGGAGCAGGCTGAGGGCATTGCCAGGATGGTGAAGACCCTTCAGGCGGCCATGGCGGTGCAGACCCTTCAGGCGACCACGGCGGTCAAGACCCTTCGGGCGGCCGTGGCAGAGAGGATCCCTCGGGCGGCCGTGGCTGGGACATTGGCCCTCCCCCAAAAAAATATTTGGGGCGAATCCCTGGATTAGGGGCAGACGGAGCATGAACAGTCTCTAGCGGGGCTGTCTCGGCGGGACGAGACTCTGGCGGGGCTGTCTCGGCGGGACGAGACTCTGGCTGGGCTGTCTCGGCGAGACGAGACTCTGGCTGGGCTGTCTCGGCGGGACGAGACTCTGGCTGGGCTGTCTCGACGGGACGAGACTCTGACTGGGCTGTCTCTGGCTGGCACGGTCTCCGGCTGGACGGTCTCCGGCTCGATCTGGTTGACGCGAAGCTCTGGCTCGTCATGGCTGACGCGAAGCTCTGGCTCGTCGTGGCTGACGCGAAGCTCTGGCTCGTCGTGGCTGACGCGAAGCTCTGGCTCGTCGTGGCTGACGCGAAGCTCTGGCTCGTCGTGGATGACGTGAAGCTCTGGCTCGCCGTGGCTGACACGAAGCTCTGGCTCGTCGTGGCTGACGCGAAGCTCTGGCTCGTCGTGGTTGACACAAAGCTCTGGCTCGTCGTGGCTGACGCGAAGCTCTGGCTCGTCGGGGCTGACGTGAAGCACTGTGCTGGATGGGCTCAGGATCTGTGCTGGGCGGGACCAGCAGCGAAGGCTCTGGAGGGATCTCGATGGGATGAGGCTTTGGAGGGACAGTGGTCTCGATGGAACGGGACTCTGGCTGTACAGTCACGGTGGAGCGTGACACCGGAATGATGCCCCACTTGGCAGCACGTATAGACATCAGCGGGATTTCGGACACGCTGGAAATCAGCCCTGGATGGCCATAAACGGATCTGGTGTCTGACCTGACAGTTGGCTCAAGTACGGCGTTGAGGTTCTCAGGCTGGGCGGGTGAGATGTGCACTGGCTCTGGGTGGGTGGTTTCCTCTCTGTGGGTGTCGCAGGGCCCAACGGTAAATGGCGACCCATTATGGAGAAGCACCCATATGGATTCATGGCTTGATGAATCCATTTTGTATTTTTGCGTTTTTTTCCCCACAAAGGTTTAATAAATACGCATCGGACTCAGTGTGCAAGGTTTCTGTGCGTGACGAATTTTAAGGCTGACGAACACGAAAACGAAAAAACGCATACGAAAATTTCGTACTCAGTGTGCAATGGCCTTTATTAATGAGCAAAACATTCGGATGTTAAGCACACCATTTACGCGTGGCTGGGAGCAGGTGTAGATTTCTTGCGTACCAACTAACATTTGGAAAATACAAACATTTTAATGAATCCGAAAATTTACGCAAGAACCACTTTACACACGATTTACACACAAATTCGTTCTGCTCGTGTTTCATGAATGAGACCCATTGTGCGTACCGTTCTTGACCGCTAGCTACAGGGGATACGAGCTACATTTTATTTAAAATATACATACACCTCATATATTGTGTAAGGTCCCGAGGCAGGCCCATATAACGGTGACGGGTCCCAAGGCAGGTGTATACGGTGACAGGTCCCAAAGCAGGCGCATATAACGGTGATGGGTTGCAAGGCAGGCGCATCTATCCATGATAAGTCCCTTGGCAGGCGCAAATAACAGTGATGAGTCCCGAGGCAGGCATATATATCTGCGACAGGTCCTGAGGCAGGCGAGTGGCAACTGCCCCTTACGGGTTGAGTGACAGGTGGAGTGGCAGCTGCCCCTAGCGGTTACCATAGACTCTAAAAAAAAGATGGACGACGCCCCTTCGCTCTTTTCCATCAGACAGAACTGAAGCCGCCAGTGTCTTGACTCATCTTGGAACTTGAGTCTGAGCACTTGCGTGTTTCGGGACCAGTCATGCGCAGTCGTGAGCAGGAAGTAAAGCCGCGAAATCAAGGCCGCGCCCTCATTCTCGCTGAATCAAACGCAAGCACACACCCTACACTTTCATTAAGTGTCCTCTGTCTGCTTCGTTCTTCTCCAATGATGTCTGCTGATTGCAGAACCTCGTTAAAATAAGGTAAATACAACTACTAACCACATAATCAACATTATTAAAAAAAAGTCAGCTGGTGCTTCAGTGACTACCTCGCACAGAGAACCTGTCAATCACAGCTGTCAATCATGATGTCAGAGCACCGTTTTTATTATCACATGATAAAACTAAAAACAAACTTATTTTAAAAACGAACACTTGAAATTACACCAATGTGATAGAAACTACAGTAAATGACAGAAACTATCTTTGAAAAAAGGATATGTGAAGTGTAATTTAATTGCTTAGTTGGTCTCGCGTCCCATTGAATAACATGGGGAGGCGGGGGTTATGAGCTATACTAGGACCAGTCACAGGGGGGCGATCGAGACGTTTTGGCTTCACTTTTGAGGGCTTGTGCGGCACGCTTGGCGGTTACAGGTTGAGTGACAGGTCGAGTGACAGCTGCCCCTAGCGGTTAGAGGTTGAGTGACTGGTCGAGTGACAGCTGCCCCTAGCGGTTACGGGTTAAGTGAGAGGTCGAGTGGCAGCTCCCCCTGCCACGCAGAGATTTCACCCCTGCTAGGCTACTAGACAATAATACACAATAGAAAAATTGATTAATAGATAATTAAAATAAAATACCTGTATATCCCAGATGAACCTCCAACAGAGAGATGGAGAAAATAAATGTAACAGGTCAGGTGCCATGGGGTTGATGAAACTGTCACAGGCCGAAAATGTTATATCCGCCAGTCTACACGTGACAAGCGGCAAAGTAGTTGATCGCTAGAAAGAAAGAAATTAATAAGGCGTGTGCTGATTGCCAAGGCAGAGCTATTGTAGTCAGTGAATGAACCTATAGAAGCAGATTTTGGCAAATCAACTGCTTTCCTGCTGATCATAAATAAATACAAATATGGGGCCTATTTTTTTTCTTTACCTGATAGTCGTTGTTCATCATTGTTTGCTGTGGAGTAACTTCCTTTTGGTTTACGTCACTGGCTCAATTTTCCTCGGGTGTACACGCTCGGTTTCTCAACTAAATACATATTTCGCCACATTCGGCCATCTGCTAGTCTGCTATCCACTCCACTATAGTACACGGATCTGGTAGCCGGATAACATTTGATAAAGTGAACTTTTTGAAATAACTTTCTCTGTCTGTGTTGCTTAATCCGCTCACATAGCTTGACACACTGCTGATTCTCGCCATATTTCCGTTGCCAATATGCGCGCATAAGTAGCTCTGTCATCATTGTGTACAAACAGTAAAAGGGTCTATTAGATCAAAATTTAAATATCCATTGCTAATCAGACTTGCCATACCTTTTAAACTTTACAGTTTCCAAACTAAATGACATAAATCTAGAGATATAAAAGAAGAAATAAGGCAACATTAATAATGACAGCTAAGAAAGAGAGAGAGATTGAAATAAATGAGCAATATCGCATTCGTAGATGGCTGTGATTTGGCCCGGAGGCACAAGGTGGCAAGTGCAAGCCGATTGCAGCAGAATCACAGCCATATATCAGTATGGCCCATTCTGATATTATATAGACCAATATCAGATTGTGTATAATTTTGAAAACCTCCAATGATTGTCTTGTTTTATATCTTTCAAAGTTTTATTATACAAAGTTAACTCCTTCATAAAAAACAAAAAACAAAGGTCTTATCTTCCTAAATCTACACGTATGTATAAACTGCTTAGCTAAAATTATTAAACTGTTATTAAAATAGAGTCTGGTTGAACCAGGCTACATTAAAATGCCCATAAGTTTTCAAGTATTATTTTTTTCACCATCATGATCAGGAAGTAACTCGTAATACAATGAAACGAATAACTGAAACTGTATACAATTATTTTACACAAAATCAATGTTTTAAAATGCTTATTGTACAGTAATGTATAGCATCATAACGTAGAGAGCAGGACGTTTCTTGTTCAATAAAAGCTTCGTTTCATGTGTAAAATACCCTCCAAATTACGTTAGGTGGCGTTATTCAAATCTAAGCTCCGCCCCTCGATTACGTTCCTGGCACTGGTGTTGGTTAGAATCTAACGCCGCCCCTCACTTCCGGTTCTGGCGCTGGGGTTCTGAAACTGGTGGTGCTGCGGGTCTGCAGCTGGATACTATAGCTGAATTGAGAGATTTGCCTGCCATCGAGGCTGTAGATATCAGCAACTAACTCGTCTTACAAACATACTTTGAAGTTCGGAAACTGGAACGTTACACAAACAGCCACATAAGCAGTAGCGGTTCTAGGCACGGGCGAACCGGGCAGTCGCCCGGGGCGGCATCTCTTCATGTCACATGGGGGGCGGCACGAGCAGTTAAAAAAAAATCCTCTGTGCCGCGAAGGTTTTCTATTTTTTATCATTTCGATTCAATTATTGGCAATGGCGCCCCTGCTTGCTGAGAAGGTGCCGTGCACAGAAGCGATATCAAGGGGGTCTCTTGATTAGTTCACGTATCGCGTCTTTTGCGCGCTCGAGGTTGTTATTTCAAATAGGCGATTAGGCGCACGGATTATAAAATCTTTTTTTGTGTGTGTTAACTTTTTTTTTAATTTTAGACACTCCTTTAAAACAAATCTTTAATGTTATTAACTTGGTGAATTGATTTCATTGTGTATTAGGCTTTTTGAACAAGATTCTGTGTATGTGATGATGTTGGTCACTATAATCATGAAATGAAAATAATTTACATAATGATCAACTTTATGTGTTTTTACAGTAGCCTATAATATGCAAAGTACAGTTTTCTAAATAATTTTCTAAATAATCTCTGATTCTGTCCTTTTTTCTGACATTTTAAGAGTGACATGGCTACAAAAGCTATAAAAGGTCTATAACAGTTTGGATAGTTGTTAATATGAGAGCTGTTCAAAATTATTTAAGAGATAAGTATTGTGTTACTAAATAGGCCTAAATATAAGTATCTCTCTGACCCTTTAATTTTAAAAACTCCATTTCGTGACAAAGTGTAGTTTAACAAGTCATAACTAAAACAAGTCATAACTAAAAGTGTGCCATGCATATAATTCAAGGCAAGAACCAATGCGCTAATGGTTACTTCCTCCCTTTAAAGTTAGATTAATCTAGCAAAATAACTGGATTCTATTAACTGTGTTTTTCAAATGAACGGTATGTGATTTTATTGTTGGGTTATTTATTTATTTCTTTTTTTTGGTTGGGGGGGGGGGGGGGGGGGGGCGGGGGCTCGAATGGGGTCTCGTCCTGGGTGTAATTCAAAGTAGAACCGCCACTGCACATAAGTGTATTTAAACACATGAATAATGTAATTATAAGCCACATAAATAATGTATTACCTCACATTTGACGAAGTGATCACTGCACAGACACGGGCATTTTCCCATTCGGCTCCTCCCCACCACAGACGTTGTTTGCAAGGCATTTTTCCCTGTATTTTCTGTTAATTTCTTGTATTTTCCCCCCTTATGAACAACAACTTTTGGCACACGATTAAAAACTCCTCGTGGTTTGATCGATTTGAGCAACCATAAACGACGCAAAACATAGGCATTTTGAGTGTGTTATAGTGCTTCACTTCCTGCCCACCATTTGCATTTCGCGCCATGGCAACGCAGTGGCGTGACGTCACGTGAAAACAAGCTATTATAAAACTTTAAAACTAGCAATGAATGAAAGGTGAGTTGCTTCACTGAAGAGTAGATGAGAGAGATCAAAGCGAGTGCATTAACGTTAGCTGATGTTCTTCAGGTCAATCTTCAATATTTAATATCACAAAATCTTTTTGAATGTCTGCTGAGGAAAGCGATATCTTTGTCCTAATTAATGGTTAAGATTTCCCATGACATGGCTAGTCAATGCAGTTGTAAGTTTCGTCTTATAGAGTTGTCAAAGAATGTACGAAGAGAATTGGCACTGGCTGGCTGGCTGGCACCGGTTTCTGGACTGGCTGCAGTAACACGTCTCTGTCCATGCGGGGGCGCTCGCGGTCGAGTGCAGAATGAATGGGAGTCTATGGGCTTTTTTCAGGATGTAATTTTTTGTCAAGTAATTTGAAAGTTGCATTCAAAAGGGAGGGCTAAGATAATACACTCAGCTGAAAATTGCATTTTTAAGTTCACTTATCTGTTCTTAAAATCCGTTCAAAAATGTGAAGAGGTCACACAATAGCAGAATGCTAGCGTGTTCCGGCCAACAACGGCCTAACCTGTAAGAAATCGAAAGGACATAAGTACTCGTTCATTCGACTTTTGGCCTATAATCTATATTGAACTTGTGGAATCAACAATAAAATCTATGTTGATTCAACGACAAGCAGGAGAAAGTGACACATTTAGCCGTTTAGCTCCATAGACCCCCATTCATTCTGCACTCTAGTGGAATTCTAATGGAACTTCAACCAAGATGATGCACAATGGGGCTAATAGGACGTGCCAAGGCTCTCCGTTAGACGGGCTCTGGAGTTGTTTACAACCTTGTTTCAGTCCCTCAAAGTAAAGTCTTACTGACTCATTCATAAATACAGTCTTTACTGCCATTTAATGGCACAATAATGTAACTTTCACTGAAGTCGAAGTCACAATCACACGCTCTTTCTCAATGCCAAATATGGCACAGTATTTATATAAAATATGATTAATTAAAAAAAATAATATTATATAACCATTGTAAAAGTATAATGAGTTTGTACAATAGGAAATAAACAAGCAAACAGTTTAGTCAAAAGTACAAACGCAGTGCTAGTTTTGCACTGGTCACAAGTTGGCCTGGTTCTATTTTGGGGGAAGAATTGTGCAGTCAAGCAGTGTTTTCTTTAATATCAGTACAGATCACATCAAAAACAACAACAGTTAATCATAAAGAAAGCCATGCCCCTGAACTCCTGTTGTCATCCTGCAGTGTGACGATCCATGCTCCATCTCAGACCATTTAAAACAGTACTCTTTGAAAAGGCATGACATTTTATTCTTTTTTTTTTTTGCTTAATCAATTTTCTCAAATGCCCATGGGTTATTTTACCACAGGCTTGGTCCACCTGACTGAAATCCTTGCAAAGGACCTTTAAGTCCTAAGATACAAAAGAGGCCGCTTCACCAGCTCCATGTCAGCAGTCTCTGATTTGTGCCTTGAGGCCCTCTCAAGGCCACATCGCTAAATCCTATTGAACAGGCTGTAAAACCCTTCAGGCGGACAGGGAATCAGTGCAATAGGCACTGAGAAGGGACTGCAATGTCATCAAAGGGGCACGCTCTGCAATTTAGAGACATGCATGAATCAGGACTTTGGGGCCCTCTACCATAGGCACACAGAAGACGGTTGCCTGAGAGCATTTCAGTGCTTAAACAGCATTCAGCAGAATCGCATAGTTTACAATTCCAACCATTGAGAATGAAGAGCACTTATGCTGATCGAAGGCTTTTGTGTGAACTATAAGTCAGGATTTATACCAAAAGTCACTGACCATTAAAAATTCTAGTTTGATGTACAAAATAACTTTTATCGCTTCAGTAAATAAGGACAAATAGTGATTTTTAGGTGAAATACTTAATTGTTATTGGGGGGGAAATGAATCTCAAAAAGGAAACAATGGGTAAAAACCTTTTTTATGAATTTAAAATCTAAAATACATACTAGTGAGAGAAAAAAAAAATCATTTATTTTTTAATCAATCAGTCAGTGAACAGTAAACACATTCATGATATGGAATGGCTTGTGAATGATATCTAATGTTAATATTGTGCATGAACAGACAACATAGTCTAAGATATGTGCAGACAGGTCAGGTTAAGGAAACAGATTTTAATACACAAGAAGTTGTGCCAAAATGATTGTGGCAAACTAAAAAAAAAAAAAAAAATCATTTATTCAGTGCCTCTGAGACATGGTACAGCACATACTGGTAAAAAAAAAGCCCACAGGGTTGTACTGAACACATCAGTAGCACTATAGTGGATTAGGTGTCTGAAATTCCATATGGATAGAGGATAAAGTGTCTTCTTAAAACACATGTGTCTTTCTCGAACAACACTGTCAGCACCTGTTTCATCAGTGAAATGCAATTCATATGTCCAATGAATTATGGGACATGTAACCGCTATTTTTCATGAGTATTTGTCAATTGTTACAAAAATCATCCACTTTGCTTTATCAAAACTTCTGGAATCAACCAGAAGAGTAAAACAAGCAATGACACTAAGAAGAATGTAGTGTAATTTCACATTAATCACAAAAGAAAAACACACACACACACACACACACACACACACACACAAAGTGATCCCATAGATGCAACAGAAGTTTGTCCAAATAATTTTGTTGTACAAAAACTCTTGAGTGACAAGTATTGAATTATTCAAGGCATCTTCTCTTTGCCCACTGGAGCTTTTTTCGAGAGAGCGACCATTTTTAGCAACAATTAACTATTTCAGTCTTGCACTTTTATCCGTGGAAGTATGTAAAAAAAAAAGTGCTTACTAAAATAGAAAAAAGTATTCTATTTTAATAGTTTCAAATCATATTTTAGCTCTCTTTATTGCAAAATAAATATTTTCTCTTTTTAAAACCTAAAACTATAAGGTCTGCCCCTCAGTATCCAACAAACCTTGGATGAAAATAGAATCGGTACAGGCAAGCGGGGAGGAAAAAAAGTTACACAAACAATATAGCTAAAATTGGTTAAATATACCAATTAAGACATCTTCAAAAAATCCAAAAACAACAACACAGATGGCAAACAATTCATATACAAAATTTTATATGGATACAGTTAAAAACACTGCCTTAGTTGGCCTCACTTCTCTGGTTTAACCCCCTGAAAAATATGTGCCAATGCCCTGAGAGAGAGCAAACACCTCCACGTTCAACCAGCTTCTTTGGCGTTACGGTGAGGGAATAAATGACTGGCAAATTCTCCTTAAGGCAGACTCAGTTCTTTCAAAAAAAAAAAAAAATCTCCATTTATTAGATACAGGAATCTACTGGAGTGAAACAGCGCCTGTATAAACTGTTCTGTTGAGTGTTCAAAAGCTCTTTTGGACGGCTTTATTTCTTGGATTGAGCCATGTAGCTGTTCTCGATGCACAGCACGATGAAGGAGCTGGAGCAGCTGCTGGAGGTCTGCTGGAGGAGTTGGCCAGCCTGCAGAGATGAGGCCAAACCTGTCACTGCACGGTCTCCGGCCCGCCACGTCTCGCAGTAGTTATCCGTCTGCCTGTGACCCCTGCCACTGGACCCGTGCCAGATCATCTTCTCTGGCCTACAGGACAGAGGAAGGAACATCATCATTTTAGGTGCTTCTCAGACAGCGAAAACCTGGACACCAAGACCTTTCCGAAATTACAAAGTCAAATTGCATTGGCTGACTGCGGGGTCATGGTGTACAGGATTTTAATCAGTCTTTTGGGAAACAACATTTTGTTTACAAGATTGGAAGAATGAATCATTGGACAGGCCAAAGATTGGGCACTGAATCGTTGAACTAACACTTTTCCCACCAGTGTTTTTGATCATTTTCACAATTTTCATGGCCCCCAGAATACTTTGTTGAATGAATATCTGAACATGCAATATATCAAAAGAAAGAACAGACCCTTTGCTTTTAAACCCCCAAAAAAACTTTATTCTAGCTTAAAGTCCCCGTGAAATCAAAATTGAACCTATTTACTTTGTTAGCGCATATTACTAGTCTTGTGGTGAACAATTAATCCGTGCAAGTAAAAATATATTTAAAAAATGTTTTACCTTGGTAATCTTTAATCAAAATTTGAAAAGTTACTTCCGGTCTGGAACGGTTTCTTTTTCTGATGACGTAGGTTTCACAACTTGGGTGGGGAAACGCTTAACCACTCCCCTCAAACCGTTAGTTTGCTATGAGCGAGAGATGGAGAGGAGGAGCGCTAGAGTAAAACCCTGCCCTCTGTTCAATATTCCGTTTCACTTGGAAATACGTCACAGCACTGGAGAAAAATCGTTTGCAACTTCCGGTTCACGGGGACTTTAATGCTTTTTTTTCCAACGCTTGAATGTGGGTACGTTTCATAAAAAAAGTACGATTTTATGCACAAAGCGGAGAAAATCGCGTTTTTGTCAAAGACTACATCCGGATCAGATTCAAACGATGATCAGAACATTGATTAAAGGGATAGTTCACTTTGAAATTAATTGTTGATATGTTTTAGCTTACATCAAGGGCATCCACGATGTAGGTGTCTTTATTTCCGCAGTATTTCAATTTTGATATTTTTAGGTCAAACCGTTCTTGTCTGTCAGTCATATAATGCAGGTCTATGGTCACCACCTCAAAGAGTTTGCACAGAGAAGTCCAAATTAAACATGATTTAATGACTCGTCGTCGTAAATGTAAGTACACATTGATGGCCTCTGGACGTACACGCGCGAGAGATCACTTCCGGCGCATGCGCAGATCGAAGCGCCCGCGCCCTCAGATCACTTGGACGTGACTGTGGTTACACGAGGTAAAAACAATATAAATACTGTTCACTTTCTCACACAAACCGCTCGTTTTGTGTCTTAGGCCATCATTGTGTACTTATATTTACGAGTCATTAAATCATGTTTAATTTGGACTTCTCTGTGCATGCTCTTTGAGGTGGTGACCATAGACCTCCATTATATGACTGACAGACAAGAACGGTTTGACCTAAAAATATCAAAATTGAAACTACTGTGGAAACAAAGACACCTACATCTTGGATGTCCTTGAGGTAAGCTAAAACATACCAAAAAAATAATTTCAAAGTGAACTATCCCTTTAAGTAGATGGAGTCCCTCAACATGGAGTCCCCCTATAGTTTCACAGTCCAATACCTCATCCTGGGTCGACATTTCATTCAGTGACATTACGCCGTTTTGATTTATCCGGCGTTTAATGTTGATGAATGCATTATTTTACATATGCATCTGCATACATGGGCAATAAAGAAGCAAAAACAAGTGATAGCATGTGTTTTTATGAGGATATTCAGTACTCTATCAGAAGATGTGAATAGCACCCCTACTGTATAGTGAAAACATGGAAAGCTGGAAAATGCCGTCAATGGTGGGGATGCGTTGTCTCATAAATGATGGGAATTTACATCAATGGTGGGAAAAGAGCAAGTAAATGGGATATCTATGAGATAGATATGATATGATAGATAGATAGATAGATAGATAGATAGATAGATAGATAGATAGATAGATAGATAGATAGATAGATAGATAGACAGACAGACAGACAGTGGCGCCTCCAGAAATTTTTCATAGGGGTGGCCAGATGGGGCCAGTTTAAATCTTGGGGTGGCACACCAAAACTATAAACCTATAAACCCATAATTTCAGAATTGTATTCTACTGTTGTAGTAAACCAGCCTGTAGGAAACTTTCAGAAAGACTTAAGGAAACTCCTACTGATATACTTTGGTTTATTGTGTAATATTTAATGTTACTAATGATATTATAGGGCCCTACTAATATATGAAGAGTTCAGATGCAAAAGCCTCTAAGTGCCATTTGAAATTTTCTTCTAAAATGATCATTTTTATCAAGCTTGTATATTTAAGTTCAGTAATTTCACTTAAATGGCAATGAAGATTACCTATTAATTGTCATTTAAGTGAAATTACTGAACTTAAATATACAAGTTTGATAAAAATGGTCATTTTAGAAGAAAATTTCAAATGGCATTTAGAGGCTTTTGCATCTGAACTCTTCATATATTATATTATGTATAATGATATATATTATATGATATATATAAGGGCCCTTGTCCCACGGCAAATTTCCAGATACTTACATAATTGTGAGGCATTTAATAATTTTTAAGTTATTACTTTGCAGTGTAAGATTACAGTTAACACCTTTAAATATTACATAAATGTATTATGAATTTAATAAACTTAATGAGTGTATAAATCAGCAGGGCAAGGCAATATGTTAAATATGTTAATAAAAACAAATTACTATTAGCTCTCTTTTAAAATTCAATCAGGCAATCATACATGTCACAATTTTATATTTATATATTAATGTCAAGAATTCAGAAGTGCATATATAGCCTACACTACAAAGAAATAATATACAATTAAATTATGCTTATTTAAAATGTATTGAGCAGGCTAGGTATAACAAAATAATATTTCAGTGCGCAACTTCAGTACCCATGATAACATGGAAAAACAGAGAGCACACAGCGTGTATGCGCATCGCGGGTGCAGAATGATGTGCTCAAAGCAACATGGAGTCACAATGTGCAGCACTGCGCTGCATAAGTGCGCATTTAAAAGCTCATGTCACAAATCGAAGAAATGTTGAGTGCACAAATCCTAGTGCGATTTGTTCCGTACAGTTATTGTGCTTTTGATGCCGATTCATAGTCCTTGGAATAGGCCTATGTGTGATCTAACAAGCACACGGTAGTGAGTCGTTTAAAAAACAGCAAGAAACTCCAAGAAAATAAAGTAGTTTTATGCGAATATACAGCCTTTTATCTACATATCATGCATTATAATGTGAATATATCATATTGGAGAGAGTTTTACCGTGCATCCAAGAGGCGCGCGTGCTGTTTGAATATGAATGGAGAATGATTGACAGCCGCAGAGGAGGGAAAACGGGTTTCCGTATACTTTAATGATGTAAATATACTTCTGTCCCTCACATTAAGCTATGGAATGACTTCAGATGACTTTGTCACCCAAACTGACGTGAAAAAAGCGGGAGGCGGCAAAAAGCGCGCTATTTGCATCCCTGCCTGTCAAAACGTGGCAAAAACACGCATTAAAAAGCTGCTGTAACAGTATACCATATGGCACTTAAAAAGCACGTCACGACACATAATTCCCCGTCTTCTTTTCCTTAAGAATATTTTTGAATTATTTATACAATGCATAACTGATGCTACAAAAATTAATACTGGCCATTGGGGTGGCCACGAGTCGGCCAGGGGTGGCCATGGCCACCCCTGGCCACCCCCTGGTGGCGCCATTGTAGATAGATAATTCATCTCTAGCTCCAGGGGACTGAGTGGTTTTAAAGGAAAATGAAAACTGACAGGATGATCAGCCGGGGCCTCTGTTTGAAGGGTTCACACAGATCAGCCAAAGCCACTGACACTCACCAGGCACTGTCCCTCAGGACATCTCTGCCATCAAAGGAGTACATAGGAGCATTGTCCTTCATCCTGCTCTCGGAGTCACTGAAGAGAGACTCCCAGCTTCTGAAAAGGACTTGATCCTGCAGAAGAGAATATCAATGCCATGAAAAGACAAGAAACATGATCACCAAATGAGTGTATTGACCACTAAATGAGTTGGGTCTTGAATCTCGAAAAAATCCACAAGATCAAATGATCATCTTTGTGTTCTGAGGCCCGAAACATACTCAGTGCGAACTATACAGACATGGTTATCAGCTTCATCTGATTCTACCTACGCAAGCTCAATTTTGTATGTAGTGTGTTATGGATTTGGACTGCATTAAAAAAGCCATCTCAATAATGTCCTTTCACGCGGCAACAACAAGCAAAGTGATATTTTCAATTATTTGGTACCACTAGAACTGTATATTAAACATTGTATCTTCTGATTTGTTGTTATTGTGCTGCATCACAAAGCCTTTTCACTTCTAGTCTGGACAAATCACTTGGGAAATTTGAACACAGTGTTCGGCTCATTTAAATTCTACCTGGTGGAAAAAATGTATAAAATTTCTGATTTATCTGAATTAGTAGAATTTGATAAATATTTTTTTTTAATCATGTTGTTGCCAGGGTCGTCCAAAGCATGGCTAGGATGTGAGTCGGTCCATTCATGGGGGGTTGTGGGTTCGCATTTGCAAAAGTTGCACCGCCCAAGGACGGCCCTCATTTTATGAAAGCAATGGAGGGGCCGTACAGTTATTTTATCACAATTAAAGGGGTTTATAGGTACCCCACTCTGTTCTCTGCCTAAAACACCCATAACCATGTTAAAATCACTGTAATCTAATGGCTCGGTGCTTTGATAATCTGAAATGAAGATCTGCATGATAATGGACAACACACCTTGAGGTTAACAATCGGTAACGTGTCTCTGTCGGACTTGCGGACGATACTGTAGAGATCCTGAAGTTTGGAAGACAAGAAGGCTCTGAATGTTCCCTTCATCCCCACGGCCCGAGCTTGCTGGAAACACAGGAAGTCTGCCCCACGAATGCCTCTCATGTTCCCCACTTGTGGAGAATTCAAGGCAATAAGATGCAACTGCACAGAGAAAGAAAGTGGTGTCAAAATAAACAAAGGTGAACTGTGCAAATGTTGTGACTTGGTTGACCGAACTAACCCCCGGTCCGGAAGTGTGGGTGTGGCCTTCTGGTTGATTGACAGGGGGGCTGGGACGGCGGGCTGGAGTGATAGGGTTCCTCCCAGGTTGAACAGGGTATCTGATTTCTGGTTGTACAGGATTGTACCTGTTATCAGTGTAAGGTGGGTATCGTGGATCTGGGTAACGGGAGTCAGGCGGATTGGGGTTTCGATTCTCTGGCTCACTCCTTGGAAACTCAATCGGCTGGTGCGGTGGAGAAATCTGCTCCGCTCCATTGTTGGCTGTGTGGTCCTGGGAATAGTGAACAACAGGGGGCGGCTGGACCGCTGCCACCTCATTGTCCTGGAGGAAAAGCCAACAAGCTACAGTCATACCTTCAGGAATTGATACGCTCATCCACTAATTCCAACGTCCTTTGATTAAATGGTGGGTGCTTATTTGAATGTTAAAGAGGTTCATTCACACTGCTTACCAGCTCTCCATAGAAGGGTTTATAATCTCCAAGCTGAAAATAAAAGAAAATCTGTGTTAATATGTGAGAAGATATGTATAATATAATGTTCTCCTTGAAATGGGTCAGTGACAAACATGGATAAGATGACAAAATGGAGAAATAGTGAATCTTATATAATCTATAATTCAGAAATGTTATCATAAAAGATTATGTACAAAAATGATGTTATGATGTAAAATGATGTTTTTATGCTCTTATTTTTATTTGAAATAAATGAATAGGTGTGCACAAAAAATAGTGTCTGTACCATCACTTGTCTGACACCATCCCGAACTCTGAGGTAGAGATCGCTTCGGTCTAAAATGTAAATCAGAGCACCTTCTGTCTGTCTGCGTGCCGTCGCAAACATTATGTCATAAGATCTCATGACAGTCACCTGCTGACACATTTAAAACCAGGCGTGTGATTAAAGTATCAAGTGTCGGGTGTTTTATCAGATATACTCCATTAGTAATTTCTTCAATGAATGTCCATCTCACCCCAGATCCAGTGCCAGGAATTCCAGGTGAGCCGGGGGGACCTGGAGGCCCGGGAATGCTGAGTGCTGAAGCATACAAAAATCACCTGTTATTTAAGTTCCTCAAGAATATTCTGAAAGCAGGAAGACTGGTTTTTATCTTACGTGGTCTGTAGGCTCCTGGCAATGACGGTGACCCCGGAGGGCCAGGGGGTCCCGGAGGTCCAGGGTTTCCTGGACGACCATCATAACCAACCCCAGGTGGTCCTGGTGGACCCTGCGGTCCAGGGGGACCTCTGATCGAGTCTCCTTTAGGTCCCTGGAAAATATATAAACCATCCATATGTAGAGCATGTAAGCACTAGAGTTGAGCCGGATACTCGGCTGAAACGAGTATCCGGTACGGATAAAGCACTTTTGTCGAGTACAAATATTATACGAGTAATACGAGTCAATATCTGTGCTCGGATAAAAAAAAGAAAAAAAAAAGAAAAAAAAAGTAATGTTGAAATTAGGGCTGAGCGATATATCAATATAAAGAATATATATTTTAAATGTGATATGTAATTAGAGTTTGCGCTGCACGCCTTGCTCCAAGCAAGCTGCTTAGTGCTGACCCAGAGCTCTCTGCACTGCTCCCCGCGCCCCAGTCACTCCTTTTCCACTTTGCGTGCTTGATTAAAGCATGTTATGTTATAACATGAAATAAAGTCTTTCACCTCAGCAAAACGGACTTTGTCCTGTCAGCCGTTATACTGTAACGTTAGTCGTAGCGCACACTCAATTGCACGCGCAAATGCGGCGGCGCGCGCTGGATCACTGTATATAAAGTGCAAAAGAAACAACGAGCATGCAACACTGTTGCGTTGTAAATAACACGAAATAAAAACAAAGCAGGTATGATTTTAATTCTATTCACCAGGAGCAGTTTCAATGTTTCATTAACAGTATTGTCTATTCACCATGGTAACTGTCATGTCTATATTAACCCCTTAATGCCCCTATTTTTCTTTGTGTTATTTTTTATATTTTTTAAATGAATGTAATGGCTCATACCAACGTTGTATTGACAAAATAAATAAACCAATTAATAAATCACAATTACAATTCCAAGGGAATAATCTGCAATTAAGATTTTTGTCATAATCATGCAGCCCTAAGGTGAAGAAACCTGTTAATTATTTATTCATTTGATTTTGCAAATGTTCATGTTTCAATAAAACTGCTTGTGACATGTCATATTTGGCTTTGACTGAACATTTGCTCTCACTTTGCAGAAAAAATATCGGGATATATTTTGTATATTGAAATTCAGCCTAAATATATTGGGATATGACTATTGGTCCATATCACCCAGCCCTAGTTCAGATGAAAACTCTTGTTCGTTACATTTTACTTCATATTTGCAACCACATGTGTTGTATTCATTGTTGCAAAACTTGTTCTGTAGTTCGTTGTTATCGTGATCAAAACCATTGATCTGAAGCTCAATGCTGATGCTGTCATGTAAATAGTTTTCTTATCAGCAATAAATATAACAATTTCTGATCAACCCATATCAATTGCATGCTTAAAATAACATACCGGTTAAAGCCCCGCCCATTTCAAGACTACCCGACCCACTTCCGGGTTTAGGCCCCGCCCAGTCCGAGTACAGATACAGATAATTCATATGGTTATACAGATACAGATACAGATACAGATAATGCTGTACTCGCTCATCCCTAGTAAGCACTCAATTCAGGTTGTGTCTAGAAACCCCTATCAATCCTTACAGGAAGACCTGGGTTTCCTGGCGGTCCCTGTCCAGCTCCAAAACGAGGGTCATAAAATCCACCTCCTGGCTCTCCTTTCTCTCCTTTAAGACCGGAATCACCTCGCTCGCCCTTCATCTCATTCTGAGGAAACCGGTTTCACGTTTACTTATTATAATCAAACAACCGTTTCATCAAATACGTTCATTTATGTATTTCGTGATCCACATACCTTGAGGGCATAGATATCAAGGTTTGAGGAAAATCCTGTAAAAAAAAGTGAATATTACATTATATATTCATGCATTAAATATCACAATACCTTTTACAATGATTTGATAATGATGTCAAGATAGTAAGTCAGGATAATTTAGACAGAACTCAGGATAGTGTTGTTATTCCCGCCTGTCAACGGCCCTTAATGTCTAGGAACAGCAACAGTCGTACGTTTTACCTGGTGATCCGGGAATCCCAGGAGCTCCCTGGTCTCCTTTATCTCCTTTCGTAGCTTAGGAAAACAAAACACTGCATTTTTCATAGTCATGGATGATTGGAGACATTTGGAGAACTAATTAATATCATTAAAATCAACATAAAATGCAGTTCACAATACTTTATTCTTCCAGAATATTGAAAAAAAGGCATTGAAGGGAAAAAAATGTAGGTTGGGATTTGATTTGATCCATTTGGACCAATAATTGGACCAGAACAGAATATAGAAAAAGAGGCAGAGCAAGTTTATAAATTGATTTTTTTATAGGACTGTGCAAAGATTAATTGCGATTAAACGCATCCAAAATAAAAGTTTGTGTTTACATAATGCTGTATATAATTATTTTGTATATATAAATTACACACACATGCATGTAAATATTTAAGAAAATATTATAATTATATATATGAAGAGTTCAGATGCAAAAGCCTCTAAATGCCATTTGAAATTTTATTCTTTAATGATGATTTTTGTCAAACTTGTATATTTAAGTTCAGTAATTTCACTTAAATAACAATTAATAGGTAATTATCATTGCAATTTAAGTGAAATCACTGAACTTAAATATACAAGTTTGATAAAAATCATAATTAAAGAAGAAAATTTCAAATGGCATTTAGAGGCTTTTGCATCTGAACTCTTTATATATATATATATATATATATATATATATATATATAGTATTTACGTGCAAATAATTCTTAAATATATACATGCATGCATATGTATTTATATATATACAAAATAATCATACACAGCACACACACATATATTATATAAACACAAACTTTTATTTTGGATGCGATTAATCACAATTCATTTTTGCACAGTCCTAATTTTGTATAAAGAAAAACATTTACAGACCAATCTTGCACAGTAAGATCTTTAGGAAATAAGATAGGGTACATTTTGATTTCATGTTGACTTTTATGACACTTATAAAATATATGTTGAACATCTGCTGTGACAAGAATGACTAACATCTTACCTGGGTATTGCCTTGAATAATCTTCATATCTCTAAAATGGAAAAGGAGATAGCAAATTAGTGCTGTTGCAATCATGATCACTTCAATTCAACAACCACCATATGGAGCTCATTTTGCAACATTTCATGCATGAATTACAGCTTATTTTACACAAATAGCACTTACTCCAAATCTGTCCAAGGGCACAGCAGGACCGGGGGGACCAGGGGGTCCTGGGGGACCAGGGGGACCCTTGAAAAGACACAAAATAACTTATGAGGGCAAGCTACTTATATAACAATCACTGATGGAACAAACTGCATGGTGTACTTACTGGGTAACCATATCCAGAGCCTGACGACGGTTCTCCCTTCTCTCCTTTGTATCCGTTCACACCTGGGCGACCCTACAGTCATAAAATTAAGACATTAAGTCAAATTCAATTACATACTCCGTTAAGTATGCTGTTGCCTGTCAGCAAATATTTTTTGTTGATGAAAGTTATTTTTTGAGAGACTTACGGGTCTGCCTGGCATTCCAAATTCACCTTTCAAACCAGCAGGTCCAGCTGGACCCTGAATAAATGAAATGTTCTTTTTTACCAAGTACAGGAATGCTAGAATTGTTTCTGTCTGAAGCTTGAATTTAAAAGAATATGTAATAAATACAAACGTACAGGAGGTCCGACTGGTCCAAAATTCCCTTTCTCACCCTACAGAGAGTGAAAAACAAGTACATTATGATGTATGCTACACTTTAGCATTTGAATGAACACAAATATGGTTATAAAATAAATAAATAAAATAAAATACCTTTTGGCCTACCAATCCACCAAGGTAAAGTGGGTTTCCATCAGGTCCAAGAATAAGTCCAGGTTCTCCTTTTTCTCCCTGCAAACAAAGTAAGGTTGCAGCAGTGAGCCGTTGGGGTTTTTAAACACTTCATATTAAACTTTGTGTGTTGATTTCTGCTCACAAACCTTAATTGCATAGCCTGGTAAACCAGGCTCTCCTCTATCACCTTTCGGTCCCATTGGGCCCTGATTGGATAAAGAGGCAGTGTGTAAAATAAATGCACTATATTATTAATGCGCCAAATTGCAATGTTACTTGGAAGCCGTGAACAGTCTACCCTTACTGTTAAAATAGATTATAATATTTGTTTTATATCATTTTAATAGAAAATTAACTGAACTAACAATGAATTAAACATTACAATAGTTTAGGATATTTCCCTGCTTTGCATCATATCAAATAAACTGTTTACCTATAGTGAAACTCACTGCAATAGCCTCTCTTGACTTGAGGCTTTAATAATTACTTCTGATATATATGAATGTCTAAAGTGATCAAAAAAGGGGGGATGAACAAATAAAGTTAGTTAGTGCTTACTGGGAATCCTGCTTGACCAGGAACACCACTCCCACCCTGAAAACCACACAAACGATACATAGATATTGGAAAATTGCATGTTATGAGTCTGCTTTTGAATCCCCACAAAACAATTTCTGGTATCCTAATGTAGTAGCAAGGGACTATTAGAGGCAGGACTTTCATACCTGAGGCCCTACTCCTCCAGTTTCATCATACTGTACAAAAAATGACAAACAGCTTAATAAAAACATGAACTATTTTAGGCAAACGAAAAAGGCAATATAAATTTGAAGACTTACATTTTCAGCATAACGATAAATAATTTGTCCAGGTTGTCCAGGGGGGCCGGGTGGACCTGGAAAACTAGTTCCATCTCGTCCAGGTTCACCCTAAGCAGATGATCACGTTTAACAATGATGTGCAATTTTGATTTTTGATAAATTTGTCCTAGATATTACATTGATTCACTTCAGACAGAAGTAAACTCACCCTCTCGCCTCTGTCTCCCCTGTCGCCCTTTGGTCCCTGCAGGCAAATGCAAAACACTGAAGTATTGGACGCCAGACTGGCTATTTAGTACATCTACAAAAGAGATTTATTAAAATGAAATGCACCTGTGGTCCAGGGAAGCCATCCAAACCAGGGCGGCCATCTTGTCCCTGAAGTCCTTCGCTACCTTTCACACCAGGATATCCTGGGATACCCTGAGGAACAAGATATGAATAAATGGCACAATCCCCAAATGAAAATTATATCTTTGGGATATAAAATAAATCTCATTTGAATGAATAAATAGTCTTACTTGTGGTCCTGGGATACCAGGAGGACCCTGAAATGAAATAAGTTTGCAGAAAATTAACTTCTAAAAACCAACAAGGGTAGATAAGAACCAATAAAGGTACAACAGAGAAAAAAATTACCTGAATTCCAACTGGTCCTCTTACCCCAGGGACTGAACTGAAGTGAATACCAGAGCCCTCCATGTCATCCTGAACACAGAGAACACACTATTTGATGGGTTTCCTAAAAGACAGTGAAGCACAAAGGATGACTGACTAATACTTACAAATCCAACGTGATATCTTGGGCCAGGAGGACCAGGTGGTCCTGGTGGTCCAACGGGTCCCATTGGTCCTGGAAGACCAGCAAGCCCACCCTGCCCAGGGAGACCAGGGGAACCGGCAGGACCCGTGGCGCCCTTTAAAGACAAGGAGTAAGATGAGTAAAACAACGCATGCAGTTAGCTTGCAAGACACCAAGATTCCAGGCAGGAGCAAAATATGTTAGTTTGCAGAAAACACATTCACACAACGCTTCTACAAAGCAATGCCACAAAAAGTCCACACTACCATCAGTACAATAATGATGCTACATTTCAAGCATTAGAACTGTAGTGTAGACAGTTGAGATGTCTGTGAAGAAAATTGATTGCTACTTGCTACCTGCCACCCAGCAGCTTTAGAGGAGAAGGATGAGGTATAGTGGGAAAGAAGATCATAGAGATAGCTGGGAAAGTAGGAGTTTTGCTACAGAGACAGAAACATAAAAGAATCCTGAGGGGGTTTGATTGTTTCAGAAGAAAATATGTTTTACTAAGAGTGACACAATAATGCAACATTATTCTTACTTTTTTTTTTCAACAATGGGCATTTTTTGATCATAGCATCCATTTCCACAACATTTCAAAATATGCATTGTGTTTGCAGTGGTGGAATGTAACGAAGTACAAATACTTTGTTACTTTACTTAAGTACATTTTTCACGTATCTTTACTTTACTTAAGTACAATAAATAGTGCCTACTTTTTACTTTTACTTCGTTACATTTTGCAGCAATTATTATACTTTCTACTCCACTACATTTCTACAACTTCTGTTACATTTTCGTTACATTTTCTGATCAGTTTTTCGTCCGTCCGTTTTTGGTCCGTTCGTTGCACGTTTGTCTCACCAGTGACGTTTGGTTGCCATAGATACAGTATATCAACCCGGTCACACTAAATGCGTCTCACACGCAGTGTGTTTATCGTGCAACTCATACGCGAAAATTGTTTTTACGTGCATAGGAAACACACCGTGTGTAATATATGTTTGGTTTGGTTATATTAGGATTATGGCAAGCCAAGAGGTTCAGAATTACACCATAAATTAATCTCGTTTACTGCCAAACATAGTTATTAACATATAGTAAGGATAAGCATGATGTGTATATTGCCTAATTGCAAGCTTGTTTCAGAAATGGTGACATTTTTTTCCATCATTATTGAACATCATTATAGGAGTAGGCTATTAGGTTGAATGAGTTAGAATTAAATGTTTTATTAATCATTAGAAAATAGACATTAAGATAATAAATTGTTATGCAAGTACTTTTACTTTTAATACTTAAAGTACATTTAAAATAAAGTACTTTTTACTTTTTACTTAAGTATGGTTGTCATTGTGTTACTTCTACTTTTACTAAAGTAAATATTTATCTGGTTATTTGTACTTTTACTTAAGTACTTCCTCCACCACTGTGTGTTTGAGAGCAGTTTATGGTGGAAATGTTTTGAAAGTGTTTGAGAATTTGGAAAAATTACAGCAAGGATGGAAATTATATTTATCTTAACGTTTAACTTTCGGCACAAATATGCTCTTCACTGACAATTTTGTTTGCATTATAACCAAGTAAACAGACTACAAATTATTTTCATAGAGAAATCACTTTCACTTTGTTTGGATTATTCTATTTGTAAAGCATTTTTAATCTTTTTTTTTTTATATACACTCACCTAAAGGATTATTAGGAACACCTGTTCAATTTCTCATTATCTAATTTCTCAATTATCTAATCAACCAATCACATGGCAGTTGCTTCAATGCATTTAGGGGTGTGGTCCTGGTCAAGACAATCTCCTGAACTCCAAACTGAATGTCAGAATGGGAAAGTTTGAGCGTGGCATCGTTGTTGGTGCCAGACGGGCCGGTCTGAGTATTTTACAATCTGCTCAGTTAATGGGATTTTCACACACAACTATTTCTAGGGTTTACAAAGAATGGTGTGAAAAGGTAAAAACATCCAGTATGTGGCAGTCCTGTGGGCGAAAATGCCTTGTTGATGCTAGAGGTCAGAGGAGAATGGGCCGACTGAGTCAAGCTGATAGAAGAGCAACTTTGACTAAAATAACCACTCGTTACAACCGAGGTATGCAGCAAATCATTTGTGAAGCCACAACACGCACAACCTTGAGGCGGATGGGCTACAACAGCAGAAGACCCCACTGTGTACCACTCATCTCCACTACAATTAGGAAAAAGAGGCTATAATTAAATAGAATGAGAACATGGATCCATAATGCCTTGTTAATACTGTGCAGGCTGGTGGTGGTGGTGTAATGGTGTGGGGGATGTTTTCTTGGCAAACTTCTAGGCCCCTTAGTGCCAATTGGTCCATCCCTTTATGGCCACCATGTACCCATCCACTGATGGCTACTTCCAGCAGGATAATGCACCATGTTACAAAGCTTGAATCATTTCAAATTGGGTTCTTGAACATGACAATGAGTTCACTGTACTAAAACAGTCACCAGATCTCAACCCAATAGAGCATATTTGGGATGTGGTGGAACGGGAGCTTCGTGCCCTGGATGTGCATCCCACAAATCTCCATCAACTGCAAGATGCTATCCTATCAATATGGGCCAACATTTCTAAAGAATGCTTTCAGCACCTTGTTGAATCAATGTCACGTAGAATTAACGCAGTTCTGAAGGCTAAAGTGGGTCAAACACAGTATTAGTATGGTGCACCTAATAATCCTTTAGGTGAGTGTATTAAGTATTAATTATAATTTAATATTATAATGTTGTATTATGGATATTCATATTTTAAGACTGAAAGGCTGAATCTGGGAAAAGAAATCAGTAAAATAAAAAATATGTAGATACTTGAAAAGTAGCAAAGGCCTGAAAAAAAGATCTGAATAAAAACAGCCCATTCTCACCCCCAAGGCGTCACCTAACTGACGCCTTGGGAAGCATTTGACCATGCTTCAATATCTGACGCTTTAGGCGCCCTTTAGCGTCAGTTAGATGACGCCTTAGGATCGCGTGTACCCTACCCCCACCCCATACCTAAACCTAACCGCGTCCTCTAACTGACGCTTTCCTTTAGCGTCAGTTAAATGACGCCGTAGGATCGCGTCATGTAAGTGACGCTAAAGGGCGCCTAAAACGTCAAATATAAGGTGACGCCTTGAGGTGAGAATGTGTTGATAAAAAACGTTCTGAATAAAAAATAAGCCCTACAGAGATGAACAGACAAGACATTTTTTAGTTATATAGGTTTCTGATGCTGACAATTAAAACTAACGGGTACAAAATTGTACTCCAAATAACTATACATCAGACATGTTTAGTGATTGTTATTGTGAAGACAAACTTCTCCCTGGATCTTGCCGTCACTCCCGGGTAGAACATTATGTTTGACTCTTATTTAATTCTCAGTCATTCAGAATTTCACAGTTTGTTCAGCTTTACACAACAGATATATGATGTATGAATATGAGCATAGAGTGCACAACGGTTTCTCACTACATTACGCAAACTGACCTTCTCTCCCACAGGTCCAGGTAGGCCCAGCTCACCGGCATCACCCTGTGGAGCACAAAATCAGTCCAGTGTCTAAAGATAGCTACCATTACAGGGATCTCAACAGAGCTGAATTATGCAAGTCCAAATCCATTAAATGTCCCGCATAGCTCTCTATTTATAGACAGGGTTCCCACACTTTTTACCAATGGATTGTCATGACTTTTCCACCACCTTTCCAGTCGTTTGTGATTATATCATATTGATGTTTTAGAAATCATTTTATAGATATTGCCTGGGTGGATTTACATTTGTATGTCAGACTGTGAAGATCCAACAAAGGTCCTCTATTCTATGTAATATTTTGTCAGTCTGAACTTGGAAATTTTACAGATAGCACTGACGTCAAGTGAATTCATGGATTAAAATGTATACACAGTTTACAAATGTCTCCAGTAAGACTGATGTTATCACTTTGGCTTTGGCTGTGACTTTTACAAACATTTAGATGAAATATTTTAGAGCAATTGTGTGAGATGTTATACGTTTCATAGACTTTTTCAGGTCTATAAAACACAACGTGAAATTCCCTGTAATGTTTTAGGTTTTCCTGGAAGAGGTTGGTGTTCTGAGGTTTCAATCCACTACTTCATACCTTCTCTCCTATTGGGCCAGGTGAGCCTGGTTTTCCATCAGTACCTGGTGGACCTGGAAGTCCCTATTAAAAAAATACAAATTTTAACACTTATTTTATTTGCTTATTATGGCATGAAACGGCAGGGAGGGGTGGGGCTACAAGAACACGCATCAGAGAACACGTCTCTGACTCATAAACACTGTATTCTGAAACAACATATTCAAACCAGTGTTATACATGTGACATGTTTCATGTCTTCTTAGACTTACCGGTTGACCTGGAGCTCCATTTTGCCCAGGAGGACCAGGAGGCCCAAAACCACCAGAGCCTGAAGATGGAAGGCCAGGCGGGCCGGGGGGACCAGGAGGACCAGGTAGGCCAGGCAAACCGGGCATTGCCTATCAACCAATATTAAGTGAAAAAGTGTTAATAAAATTCACTACATTCCGCTTCCAGACATCCAAAGACTGCACTGTTCTACTCTTGTGATGTATACAATGGTCCAAATGTTTGTTGTCACTAAGATTTTTTGAAAGAAATTAATATAGTTTTATGATCACAGGAATAAATGACGTTTTCAAATATATTCAAATAGAAAACTGTTATTTTACATTGTAATAATATTTCATAATATTTTTGATCAAATAATCAAGAAATATCAGCAATGGGGTTCCAGAACAAAGATGGTTAGTTGTTCAGCATGAGATCTGAATTAATACTATACTGTAAGTTAATATAGTGTCCACAGAACGTACTCGCACACTGTCCATATCAAATCCAGAGCCCTCCATGTCCACAAATGTCTGAAAAATGAAAACAGAGGAATGAACATTTTTACAAATCAGTTTTTTCAAAAAGAAAGGGGTCATAAAAACGATTGACTAATAATGAACTCACAGGCCTATCAGAGCGAGAGATGGGTCCTGGTGGGCCAGGAGGCCCTGGAGGCCCACGGGGTCCTGGCTGACTTTCACCTCGGTCTCCCTAAAATTAAAAATTGTGAAAAAACTGGAATGTTTTCGCAATTCTGCATTCATGCAAAACTGCATTCGCAGTTTGGTGAACAAGACAATGAGACTGTCAATTATCATTATCATATCATTATGATACCAAAAATACTTACTTTGTCTCCTTTGATTCCAGGAGTCCCAGGAAAACCGGGAGGTCCAACTTGACCCTGTTACAAAAATGTCTCTTTAATCATTTGTACTTGAAACATAAGAATGCAAACACAAATACACAAAATCAAAAACAAAATCAGACTTGACTCCCCGTTTTATATAGTGAAAACAAACTGTTCCCGCCAACAAGTATAGTATACACTAGCAGGTATAATTTCAGAAGAATAATGTCATTCAGATTTACTGAGAAATGTACTTGACCCGGGTCTGTTTTATAAGAGAGTTTATGAAATGCATTACTTACAGCTTTTCCATCTTCACCAGGGTCACCCTATAAAAGAGAGGATAGAATATTAGTTTTGTTCAGATATGACCAATGCCCGATGCATTATGCATAGTCTCAAGGACAAAAACACAATGTGCCTTTGTGTTCGCAATGATGCATATCTTAAACCTGTATTAACATCATTCTCTGCTTGTGATGGGGAACACTATAGGGATCTATTACTGTGCTAACACATCAACGGCAAATACAAGACCACTTCTGACATATGCGGCTTGAAAATGTTATAACGCTGTTCCTTTCAAATGTAAATGTATTCGCTAATAGAAAACAGAGGCAGTAATTGAACCATTCCTTTCTCTGCGAGCTACTCACCGGCTCCCCATCATTTCCAGCAGGGCCTGCGGGTCCTGGAGGTCCAGGTGGTCCTCTTGGTCCCGTCACTTTTTGAACAACAGACCCATCTCCTCTCACCTCTACCTCTGCACTGGGCCCGGGGGGACCGGGAGGCCCTGGAGGTCCAGCGGGACCACGGTCACCCTTTGATCCAGGATAACCAAAACCAGCATTGCCCTGAAACCAAAAAGGTAACAGAGATTTGAGCATGGGTGAGCCTTACTTTAAGAAAATCTGCATAAATGTCTGTAAAAAAATATGTTAAAGAGAGATGCTTAAAGCTATAATTCAGCCCAAACATTTTCTAGAAAGTAATATAATGAAACACAAAATAATATTTTCTGTTTGCTCATTTTCTAATTTTGTGATTTTGGCACAAACTATTCCTTTAATTCACATTTTCACAGTCATGTCTAGGAATAAGCGTCGCAACAAACCTTCATTCCTTTCTCTCCTACGGTACCCTGTGAAAACACACCGACAAAAATGATTGACCTGTCTGCCACTCACACCGTTCTAACAGATGGCTGAACATTCAAGCTCCCCATCAATGACTTCACACATTACTGAGAATTTTGAAGGACACAAAAAAGTAACAATTCAACTAAAGAAAGGTGCACTATATCACAAACAATAGAACGTACTGAACGTAAGACAGACAGACAGACAGACAGACAGATAGACAGATAGATAGATACAGTAGATAGATAGATAGACAGATAGACAGATAGACAGATAGACAGATAGATAGATAGATAGATAGATAGATAGATAGACAGATAGATAGATACAGTAGATAGATAGATAGACAGATAGATAGATAGATAGATAGATAGATAGATAGATAGATAGATAGATAGATAGATAGATAGATAGATAGATAGATAGATAGATAGATAGATAGATAGATAGATAGATAGATAGATAGATAGATAGATAGATAGATAGATAGATAGATAGATAGATAGATAGATGATAGATAGATAGATAGATAGATAGATAGATAGATAGATAGATAGATAGATAGATAGATAGATAGATAGATAGATAGATATTACTTTAAATTGAGATTACCATAAACACTCAGTGAGGTTCACACTATTCAACAGACCTTGTCTCCTTTTGCACTGCCACCAGACACAGTTCCTGAATCGCCCTTTGGCCCCGTAAGGCCCCTGTCACCTTTGGAACCCTTCTCTCCTCTTTCTCCTTTCTCTCCTCTTGCACCAACATAACCTGTATATTTGAAAATGACTTTATTAATTAAAAATTGTGCGTTAAAGTTAAAGCTCATCCAAAAATGAAAATTCTGTCATTATTCATTGACCCTCATGTCGTTCCTAACCCTTAAGACTACCGTTCATCTTTCGCAACACTATGAAGATCTTTTTGATGAAATTTGAGAGCTTTCTGTCCCTCCGTTGACAGCTGCACAACTACTTTGACGCTTCAAAAAGTTCATAAAGAGATCGTAAAACTGATCCATATTAATTGAACGGTTTAGTCAAAATTTTCTGAAGAAGACTAAATTTGGGCTTTTATTCAAATATAAACATTCATCAACTCAGCACGTTTGAGCTTCTGCAAGAATCAATAAGGTTCATTATTGTGTTACGCAGCACGTTTGAGCTTCTGCAAGAATCAATAAGGTTCATTATTGTGTTATGCAGCACGTTTGCGCTTCTGCAAAAACCAATGATGTTCATTATTGTGTTACGCAGCACGTTTGAGCTTCTGCAAGAACCAATGAGGTTCGTTATTGTGTTACGCAGCACGTTTGAGCTTCTGCAAGAACCAATGAGGTTCGTTATTGTGTTACGCAGCACGTTTGAGCTTCTGCAAGAACCAATGAGGTTCATTATTGTGTTACGCAGCACGTTTGAGCTTCTGCAAGAACCAATGAGGTTCATTATTCTGTTACGCAGCACGTTTGAGCTTCTGCAAGAACCAATGAGGTTCATTATTGTGTTACGCAGCACGTTTGAGCTTCTGCAAGAACCAATGAGGTGCATTATTGTGTTACGCAGCACGTTTGAGCTTCTGCAAGAACCAATGAATTTCATTATTGTGTTACGCAGCACGTTTGAGCTTCTGCAAGAACCAATGAGGTCCATTATTGTGTTACGCAGCACGTTTGAGCTTCTGCAAGAACCAATGAGGTCCATTATTGTGTTACGCAGCATGTTTGAGCTTCTGCAAGAACCAATGAGGTTCATTATTGTGTTACGCAGCACGTTTGAGCTTCTGCAAGAACCAATGAGGTTCATTATTGTGTTACGCAGCACGTTTGAGCTTCTGCAAGAACCAATGAGGTCCATTATTGTGTTACGCAGCACGTTTGCACTTCTGCAAGAACCAATGAGGTTCATTATTGTGTTACGCAGCACGTTTGAGCTTCTGCAAGAACCAATGAGGTTCATTATTGTGTTACGCAGCACGTTTGAGCTTCTGCAAGAACCAATGAGGTTCATTATTGTGTTACGCAGAACGTTTGAGCTTCTGCAAGAACCAATGAGGTTCATTATTGTGTTACGCAGCACGTTTGAGCTTCTGCAAGAACCAATGAGGTTCATTATTGTGTTACGCAGCACGTTTGAGCTTCTGCAAGAACCAATGAGGTTCATTATTGTGTTACGCAGCACGTTTGAGCTTCTGCAAAACCAATGAGGTTCATTATTGTGTTACGCAGCACGTTTGAGCTTCTGCAAGAACCAATGAGGTTCATTATTGTGTTACGCAGCACGTTTGAGCTTCTGCAAGAACCAATGAGGTTCATTATTGTGTTACGCAGCACGTTTGAGCTTCTGCAAGAACCAATGAGGTTCATTATTGTGTTACGCAGCACGTTTGAGCTTCTGCAAGAACCAATGAGGTTCATTATTGTGTTACGCAGCACGTTTGAGCTTCTGCAAGAACCAATGAGGTTCATTATTGTGTTACGCAGCACGTTTGAGCTTCTGCAAGAACCAATGAGGTTCATTATTGTGTTACGCAGCACGTTTGAGCTTCTGCAAGAACCAATGAGGTTCATTATTGTGTTACGCAGCACGTTTGAGCTTCTGCAAGAACCAATGAGGTTCATTATTGTGTTACGCAGCATGTTTGAGCTTCTGCAAGAACCAATGAGGTTCATTATTGTGTTACGCAGCACGTTTGAGCTTCTGCAAGAACCAATGAGGTTTTATTGTGTTACGCAGCACGTTTGAGCTTCTGCAAGAACCAATGAGGTTCATTATTGTGTTACGCAGCACGTTTGAGCTTCTGCAAGAACCAATGAGGTTCATTATTGTGTTACGCAGCACGTTTGAGCTTCTGCAAGAACCAATGAGGTTCATTATTGTGTTACGCAGCACGTTTGAGCTTCTGCAAGAACCAATGAGGTTCATTATTGTGTTACGCAGCACGTTTGAGCTTCTGCAAGAACCAATGAGGTTCATTATTGTGTTACGCAGCACGTTTGAGCTTCTGCAAGAACCAATGAGGTTCATTATTGTGTTACGCAGCACGTTTGAGCTTCTGCAAGAACCAATGAGGTTCATTATTGTGTTACGCAGCACGTTTGAGCTTCTGCAAGAACCAATGAGGTTCATTATTGTGTTACGCAGCACGTTTGAGCTTCTGCAAGAACCAATGAGGTTCATTATTGTGTTACGCAGCACGTTTGAGCTTCTGCAAGAACCAATGAGGTTCATTATTGTGTTACGCAGCACGTTTGAGCTTCTGCAAGAACCAATGAGGTTCATTATTGTGTTACGCAGCACGTTTGAGCTTCTGCAAGAACCAATGAGGTTCATTATTGTGTTACGCAGCACGTTTGAGCTTCTGCAAGAACCAATGAGGTTCATTATTGTGTTACGCAGCACGTTTGAGCTTCTGCAAGAACCAATGAGGTTCATTATTGTGTTACGCAGCACGTTTGAGCTTCTGCAAGAACCAATGAGGTTCATTATTGTGTTACGCAGCACGTTTGAGCTTCTGCAAGAACCAATGAGGTTCATTATTGTGTTACGCAGCACGTTTGAGCTTCTGCAAGAACCAATGAGGTTCATTATTGTGTTACGCAGCACGTTTGAGCTTCTGCAAGAACCAATGAGGTTCATTATTGTGTTACGCAGCACGTTTGAGCTTCTGCAAGAACCAATGAGGTTCATTATTGTGTTACGCAGCACGTTTGAGCTTCTGCAAGAACCAATGAGGTTCATTATTGTGTTACGCAGCACGTTTGAGCTTCTGCAAGAACCAATGAGGTTCATTATTGTGTTACGCAGCACGTTTGAGCTTCTGCAAGAACCAATGAGGTTCATTATTGTGTTACGCAGCACGTTTGAGCTTCTGCAAGAACCAATGAGGTTCATTATTGTGTTACGCAGCACGTTTGAGCTTCTGCAAGAACCAATGAGGTTCATTATTGTGTTACGCAGCACGTTTGAGCTTCTGCAAGAACCAATGAGGTTCATTATTGTGTTACGCAGCACGTTTGAGCTTCTGCAAGAACCAATGAGGTTCATTATTGTGTTACGCAGCACGTTTGAGCTTCTGCAAGAACCAATGAGGTTCATTATTGTGTTACGCAGCACGTTTGAGCTTCTGCAAGAACCAATGAGGTTCATTATTGTGTTACGCAGCACGTTTGAGCTTCTGCAAGAACCAATGAGGTTCATTATTGTGTTACGCAGCACGTTTGAGCTTCTGCAAGAACCAATGAGGTTCATTATTGTGTTACGCAGCACGTTTGAGCTTCTGCAAGAACCAATGAGGTTCATTATTGTGTTACGCAGCACGTTTGAGCTTCTGCAAGAACCAATGAGGTTCATTATTGTGTTACGCAGCACGTTTGAGCTTCTGCAAGAACCAATGAGGTTCATTATTGTGTTACGCAGCACGTTTGAGCTTCTGCAAGAACCAATGAGGTTCATTATTGTGTTACGCAGCACGTTTGAGCTTCTGCAAGAACCAATGAGGTTCATTATTGTGTTACGCAGCACGTTTGAGCTTCTGCAAGAACCAATGAGGTTCATTATTGTGTTACGCAGCACGTTTGAGCTTCTGCAAGAACCAATGAGGTTCATTATTGTGTTACGCAGCACGTTTGAGCTTCTGCAAGAACCAATGAGGTTCATTATTGTGTTACGCAGCACGTTTGAGCTTCTGCAAGAACCAATGAGGTTCATTATTGTGTTACGCAGCACGTTTGAGCTTCTGCAAGAACCAATGAGGTTCATTATTGTGTTACGCAGCACGTTTGAGCTTCTGCAAGAACCAATGAGGTTCATTATTGTGTTACGCAGCACGTTTGAGCTTCTGCAAGAACCAATGAGGTTCATTATTGTGTTACGCAGCACGTTTGAGCTTCTGCAAGAACCAATGAGGTTCATTATTGTGTTACGCAGCACGTTTGCGCTTCTGCAAGAACCAATGAGGTTCATTATTGTGTTACGCAGCACGTTTGAGCTTCTGCAAGAACCAATGAGGTCCATTATTGTTACGCAGCACGTTTGTGCTTCTGCAAGAACCAATGAGGTCCATTATTGTGTTACGCAGCACGTTTGAGCTTCTGCAAGAACCAATGAGGTTCATTATTGTGTTACGCAGCACGTTTGAGCTTCTGCAAGTACCAATGAGGTTCATTATTGTGTTACGCAGCACGTTTGAGCTTCTGCAAGAACCAATGAGGTTCATTACTGTGTTACGCAGCACGTTTGAGCATCTGCAAGAACCAATGAGGTTCATTATTGTGTTACGCAGAACGTTTGAGCTTCTGCAAGAACCAATGAGGTTCATTATTTTGTTATGCAGCACGTTTGAGCTTCTGCAAGAACCAATGAGGTTCATTATTGTGTTACGCAGCACGTTTGAGCTTCTGCAAGAACCAATGAGGTCCATTATTGTGTTACGCAGCACGTTTGAGCTTCTGCAAGAACCAATGAGGTTCATTATTGTGTTACGCAGCACGTTTGCGCTTCTGCAAGTACCAATGAATTTCATTATTGTGTTACGCAGCACGTTTGAGCTTCTGCAAGAACCAATGAGGTCCATTATTGTGTTACGCAGCACGTTTGTGCTTCTGCAAGAATCAATGAGGTCCATTATTGTGTTACGCAGCACGTTTGAGCTTCTGCAAGAACCAATGAGGTTCATTATTGTGTTACGCAGCACGTTTGAGCTTCTGCAAGTACCAATGAGGTTCATTATTGTGTTACGCAGCACGTTTGAGCTTCTGCAAGAACCAATGAGGTCCATTATTGTGTTACGCAGCACGTTTGAGCTTCTGCAAGAACCATGAGGTTCATTATTGTGTTACGCAGCAAGTTTGAGCTTCTGCAAGAACCAATGAGGTTCATTATTGTGTTACGCAGCACGTTTGAGCTTCTGCAAGAACCAATGAGGTTCATTATTGTGTTACGCATCACGTTTGAGCTTCTGCAAGAACCAATGAGGTTCATTATTGTGTTACGCAGCACGTTTGAGCTTCTGCAAGAACCAATGAGGTTCATTACTGTGTTACGCAGCACGTTTGAGCTTCTGCAAGAACCAATGAGGTCATTATTGTGTTACGCAGCACGTTTGAGCTTCTGCAAGAACCAATGAGGTTCATTATTGTGTTACGCAGCACGTTTGAGCTTCTGCAAGAACCAATGAGGTTCATTATTGTGTTACGCAGCACGTTTGAGCTTCTGCAAGAACCAATGAGGTCCATTATTGTGTTACGCAGCACGTTTGTGCTTCTGCAAGAACCAATGAGGTTCATTATTGTGTTACGCAGCACGTTTGAGCTTCTGCAAGAACCAATGAGGTTCATTATTGTGTTACGCAGCACGTTTGAGCTTCTGCAAGAACCAATGAGGTTCATTATTGTGTTACGCAGCACGTTTGAGCTTCTGCAAGAACCAATGAGGTTCATTATTGTGTTACGCAGCACGTTTGAGCTTCTGCAAGAACCAATGAGGTTCATTATTGTGTTACGCAGCACGTTTGAGCTTCTGCAAGTACCAATGAGGTTCATTATTGTGTTACGCAGCACGTTTGAGCTTCTGCAAGAACCAATGAGGTTCATTATTGTGTTACGCAGCACGTTTGAGCTTCTGCAAGAACCAATGAGGTTCATTACTGTGTTACGCAGCACGTTTGAGCATCTGCAAGAACCAATGAGGTTCATTATTGTGTTAAGCAGTACGTTTGAGGTTCTGCAAGAACCAATGCGGTCCATTATTGTGTTACGCAGCACGTTTGCACTTCTGCAAGAACCAATGAGGTTCATTATTGTGTTACGCAGCACGTTTGAGCTTCTGCAAGAACCAATGAGGTTCATTACTGTGTTACACAGCACGTTTGAGCTTCTGTTTATGTTCGCTAATCAATGTTTATATGTAGCTGTCAATGGAGAGACAAAAAGCTCTTAGATTTCATCAAAAATGTCAAATGTGTTCCGAAGATGAATGAAAGTCTTATGGGTTTGGACCGACATGAGGGTGAGTAATTAATGACACAATTTTTATTTTTGGGTGAGCTATCCCTTAAATCTTACTACAAAATAAAAGTAAGAAATCATATTTTGCATTAAGAAAATAAAGCCAATTCTAAGACCATTAAGATAAACTGTGATATACAAGTTTTCATGTTAATTCTCATTACCAAAATGCAAAATAATGCTAAAAAATAATTACACATTTAAATGGTTAAATACATATACATCATGCTAGTATTTGGTGTGTGCTGAAATATAAAAATAAACTATTACAGTAACAGGAATACAACTGACAGTACAAGTAAATCATACATACAAACATTATGACAATAAGAAATTAGGGGGAAATGTGCTTAATAATTATTAAAATAATGTCAGAGTGTAGAAGATCTAAATAGTCCTAAAAAGGCTTTTGTCTTTTAATATATAATTTATCTATTGTGAAACATGACCTGGACATGTTTCTGTAATTTTCAACCAAAAATAATCTAGTTGTATAAAATAAAAATAAAACATGACAATAGCCAAGGAAGATGTGCCAAACTCCACATATTCAAGAATATGCCAACAAGCAGAAGCTAAGCAGCTGAATAAGCAATCTGTCAATACAAATGCCATATAACAATTATGCTAGCATTAAACAACAAACATACATATGTGCAATAAACAACATACATATGCAGCAACACTATCACTTGCACCCGGTTTGCTGCAGTCCTTGTTGGGCATCCACAGCTTTTTGCCAGTATTTCATGCAAAGCATCATGTAGAAATTCTGCTGAGAATTTCTATCCAGAATGTCCCATGTCCATTTGAGAGATTTTCATCTTTTTATTACCTGTTGGACCCGCAGAAGACTCCACAGAATACCGTATCCCATCATCAGCTGAGCCTGTTGTTCTTAGAGAGTAGTCAACAGAGTTTGAAGCTTTTCTAGAATCCTCATACGAACCCAAGGTTTGCTTGCTAACATAATCTGAGTCAAGAGGTTGTTGAGAACCACCATCAGTGCCAGATGATTGTCGAGAACCACTATATGAGCCAGGGCTTCGTTGGGAATCACCATATGAACCAGAAGTTCGTTCAGAAACACCATATGAGCCAGATGTTTGTCGAGAATCACCATAGGAGACCGGAGTTTTTCGGGAATCCCCATATGAACCAGATGTTTTTCGAGAGCCGCCGTAAGAGCCAGAAGTTTGTCGAGAGGAATCAGCTGATCCTAATGTTCATTAAAACTTCCCAATTCAGCTCAGTATGAGGAAAGATCATATAGCAAACCATTTTGAAAGTCGTGTACATTATTGAAGCAAGTAAAAGAATGGATTATGGTCAATCAGAATACTAGGCCATTGGGAACCAGCATCCCTTGTTGCCCACGCACAATGTCACAGGTAGTAAAAACAACCCCGGAATCTTATTTTAAATATATATATATATATATTTAAAAAAAAAAAAATACATTAATAATAACATTATTATTATGTGACTTTGTATTATTGAATTATGTGACATTCTGTAATTGTGATATAAAACCTGTATCGCTCATAATTGTGAGTTTATATCTCAAAATTACAACTTCAGCTTTTCATAAATTTAACTTTGTATAAATGTGAGATTTTTTGACGTTTATACTTAATATACATTTTTACTAATATAAGAAGTAAAATAACAACTTAAAACGTCACAATTACAGTTGTCAACAATGCCAAATGTAGATTTTTACTCATCAAACGTGCATTATTGCCCCATTGGCGTAAGCCATAATCCATCCTTGGGTTTAGGCCATCCATTATAACATCAGAATAACACACCTCTTAAGAATACGTTTGCAATTAAATGTAAAAAGACATTTTCTCATTGCTTTACACCAATAGAGGGAGCCAAAGCAAAATAAAAGTGGCTCCATGCATAAACACACAATTTCATGATTATACTAAAATTAAAACCACAAATTTATTTTTAAATCTGCTTGCCTTCAATACCCTGCTAGAAACACTAGCTTGAACCTGGGGAAAGTGTGCTTTGAGTAAGATCTGTGATTTGTGACTTGCTGGCTGCAACACTTTGGCCTGGTTTCACAGACAGGGCTTAGATTAAGCCAGTATTAGGCCTTAGAGCAATTAGGACATTCAAGTAGATTTTATAAACGTGAGAGTTATAAACATAAGATATTTCAGTGCAAATTGCTTTCAGTTAAAACAGCTCAGACACGCATTTTAGTCTGAGACTTAAGCATAGTCTGTGAAACCGAGGATACTGTTCTTTTCAGATGTGTACGCTAACTATGCAGCCCAAATGTTTTCTTACATGAACAAAATAACTGTATCAACAAAAGGAAAGTTGTAAATTAACCAAAAAAGCACAAAAACGTTTACAAGAAGAAAAAGAGCCATTTAACAATTCAGGAGAGCAATAAATGCATCTGATGAGCTGTGCTGTCAGACTAGCTGATGTTTTATAGACAGACTAGTTCAGACTGACACTGAACACAGACAAACAAAGCTCACCTGTCTGCTGCTTCTCACTGCTGGTCACCGGTGGCTGCTGGATCGGCCGAGAGGAGGGAGGTGTCAGCTGAAAGTGATAAGCATCAATAATATATCAATTAACATAAATAAACCGCAAATCAGACAGTCAATCAACACTGAAATGCAATGTACAGAAATAACAGCATGTACATTGATAAAAATTCACATCCTTAAAGAGTGCCTTTTCTTGTTTTCACAAGTAAAAAAAATCCTTAAAACAAGACAAATTTGCAAAACTGTTGTAAATATGAGATATTATAGCTGGTTTTATAGGCAGATTTCATATTTTTGTTTAAGCACACAAGTGGGAAAATCTGCCAGTTACAAGACAAAATACACTTACAGTAAAGAGAAAATAGCATTCAAAAGTTTGGGGTCAATGTTTTAGAAAGAAATGCTCACTAAGGTTACATTTGTTTGATCAAAATACAGCAAAAACAGTAATATTGTGAAATATTTTTACAATTTAAAATTTTATGTTTTTATTTTATTCCTGAGGGAAAAGCTGAAGTTTCAGCATCAGTACTCCAGTCACATGATCAGAATTCAGATACCATGCTAACATGCTAATTTATTTCACGTTGAAAACAGATGTGTGGAACTAGCTCTCTTTTCAGGATTCTTTGACAAATAGAAATTGCAAAAAGAATAGGAATTTTTCACATCTAAATCATCACATTAAAACTGTCTTTACTGTCACTTTTACTGACTCCTAAAATTCTTCAATTTTTAAACAAAGTAAAAAATACTTTTCAAAACAAAGAAATACATTTTTGATATGTTTTAGCTTACCTCAAGGGCATCCAAGATGTATGTGTCTTCATTTCCGCAGTATTTTCAATTTTGATATTTTTAGGTCAAACCGTTTGTGTCTATCAGCCATATAATAGAGGTCTATGGTCCCCACCTCAAAGAGCATGCACAGAGAAGTCCAAATTAAACATGATTTAATGACTTGTAAATGTAAGTACACATTGATGGCCTAAGACACGAAACGAGCGGTTTGTGTGGGAAAACAAACAGCATTTATATCGTTTTATCTCTTGTAACCACGTCCAAGTGATCTGAGGGTGCGGGCGCTTTGTGGCTGTGGTTACAAGAGGTAAAAACTACATAAATACTGTTCGTTTGCTCACACAAACCGCTCGTTTCGTGTCTTAGGCCATCAATGTGTACTTACATTTACGAGTCATTAAATCATGTTTAATTTGGACTTCTCTGTGCATGCTCTTTGAGGTGGTGACCATAGACCTCCATTATATGACTTACAGACAAGAACGGTTTGACCTAAAAATAAAAAAAAAATTTAACTACTGCGGAAACAAAGACACCTACATCTTGGATGCCCTTGAGGTAAGCTAAAACATACCAAATATGTATTTCAAAGTGAACTACCCCTTTAATACGTCAAGCAGATTTGTTTCTCAGGTGAAGTTCTTGTTTTACGGACATTTAGATATTTCTCCTTTTCTATGTTTAGGGGTATACGTTTCCTTAAAGTTAAGGGACTAAATGGCATAAAAATCCAATTTCTTGGTTTCTTAAAATGAATAAGAACATTTTTCCTTTCATACCTGTTCCGACAGTTGGAATTTTATTTCACTGATTATGTACAAACACTTTGACAAATACAACCACGATCTTAAAACACTAGAGGGCACTTGATATGGCAAAGCAAAGAACCGTGACTTCACAGATTTTTGTACTCACACACAGCGGTCACACTCAGACATACAGCTCACAGTTAACAAAGCTCCTTGAAGAAAAGCTGCCAGGGCTGGCCGTTTGAAGCGCAGACACAAAGAGGGCCTGACCTTGCACTTCACAAAACACGCGCTGCTGAAACGGCAGAATCCCACTGATGAAATACCAGGCATCAGGTTCTAGAACACTCTGATCCTCAGATTTCACGCCGGGATTGAGAAAAAGGAGACTTTGCCTGAGAGGACACAGAGTGCTCTGATGGCCAGTGTGAGAGGATGCTGACAGCGTGTATTTTTGGACAGAGAGAACGACCGTCTTTGGGAATGCAGGCCACGGGTCCTGGGATCTAAAGATAGAGGTCAGGAGTGGGCAGTTAGGGGGCTGTCCGGCTAGATGAGGAGGGGCTGCTAAACATCTGCCATCACGGTCACTGCTGCGGAGACGAGAGAATCTGACCTTGAACACATTACACTGAGTTATGCTGGAGGAGTTGAGGATATGGAAAAGATCATACGGCACAGAAGGACATTTCCTTGTGCATTAAAAAAGGGGCCATTCTTTGCTGGCATGTGTTTTTTGCATCACGGTCTTCCACGAGAGCAATTTAGATCATCACTTGGAATGTACTGGATTCTTCTGGGGCTGGAATACTTCAGTAAACTTGTTATTGAAGTCTACTTTGTAGATCTGAGGTTTTCATACTATTTGATTCCACAAAATATGATGATATTTTAAATTCTAAAGACCTATTTATACTGTGAAAAAAAAAACTAATATTCTAAACATGTAAAATAATATTTGAAAACCCTTACTTTTAATGTCAAATTAAATGGTTTGTAATGTCAAATTTGGTACATTTAAATGAATCAATTTGTGTATTGAAAGTGAAAATACAAAATATCAAACAAATCATATTAACGGCATAGAATTGGCATAATTATGGATAATTAATTACATATATTAGGGCTGTCAAACGATTAATCGCGATTAATAGCATCCAAAATAAAAGTTTGTGTTTACATAATATATGTGGGTGCACTGTGTATAATTATTTTGTATATATATATATATATATATATATACATACATACATGTATGTATATTTAGGAAAAAAATATTATTTATATATAAAATATTTATATTTATATATAATATAAATTATATATAAATATATACAGCATATAGATGAAAATATTTCTTAAATATATACAAGCATGTGTGTATATTTATATATATAAAATAATTATACACAGTGCACTCACATATATTGTAAACACAAAATTTTATTTTGGATGTGATTAATCGTGATTAAGATCATCACTTGGAATCAAGTTTTCCTTCAAATTTTTATTTTATATATTATAATTTGCATTATAATTAGTAATGACTAAATGAAGTCATTTACCAATCTCCTAAAAGTAAATGCAATATCCGGCATTGTCTCAGAAATATGACACGCTAAATAAGACATGCCAAAATTTAATTTTCTTTTTCATAGAACAAGTGTAATGAAGTCAAACTGTTTTCCACTCTCACAAGACTACTTCTCTTCCACTAGATATAATAATCTCATGAAATTGGATTACACAAAATTAGGCCTCCACAAGAGGCTGTCATGCAAACACAGTTTGCAAAAAGGCATGTCCACCAGGTGCCCTCTCCTCAAATGCACTTTCTAACATCCAAGCAGGGTGAAACAAGCGTGGAAAATGTCCCAGGGGGGAATGTGGCATCATTTAAAATGGATTCCACGGTAAAATAAAGGAAAATTTACTTCACAGTACTTCGGAAAATGCCGTCTCTGTTTCTGTCACAGCATGTTAAAATGCATTGGATACTGTAAGGCAAACAAAAGCCATGTAATTTAAAATTACAAGGCAAGAAACAGCTGTTTAGAAAATGTTAAAAACGAATATAAATACTTGTAAGTGTAAGGAAAGAAGCAGCAACCTCCAAGAACAATATACTAATACAAATCAAACACACACAGACACACAAAATATGGCATAAATGTTCTCAAATTGCATGACACAATTAGCACTGATGAATAAACCAGTCAAACAAAAAGCACTTATGGAAGACAATCCTTGCAGTCCACCACACCTAAGAGCCACCTGGTTTCCTTCCATTGTAATTAGCTCTGGCATGCTCAGACAGGGCCTCGCACATCAGTAGCAAGGGTTCATTTCAATTTCCACATGCTCTATTTCTGGATTAGTAACACAAGGCATGGGAAGATGGGCTTTAACATCTGGGATTGGTCAGGAGATAATAGCTTTCATCCGGGACTTTCCCCCAGAAGATGAGCAAGTGTACAACGACAGACCTGTCAGAAGCCCGGAAATCTCGGGATCGTCATTAGATGTTTTAAATGTGGACATTAAATCGGTCACAACAAGTTTTACAAATGTGAGCTTGGCTACCAAACAAACCAAACAAAATGAAGGGAATACCTGGACTGATGGTGGTCTGTCTCCATCTCCACTTGCTCCATAATCACCTGATCCCTGCAGATTCTGAGGGTTGAATGGAAAACATGCATAAATTCTCTTTAGAGTGGTCACAACGAGAAAGGGTCATTTCATCCCACTGTTTTCTAGACAGCTGGAGGGCATGTAGTACGTCATAGGTCAAAGTGATAGGCGTTAAAGCTTTATCCTGTGGAAAACCTAACTTGAGGCAACACATTCTTTTCTTGAAAATGAATGGAAGTGAATTCCAAGCATTATCAGCCGCAGATACACAGCAATCAGTCGACAAACACTCCAGATACTCCTTTAAAGGAACAGTTACTCGCCCTCATGTCATTCCCAACCCATATTGTTTTCATGAAACACCAAAAGAAATATTAAGCATAATGTCCAATAATCTTCCTCCCTGCCTGAGCTCTTAACCCTTTATGACCTGCCATAGAACAAATCCACCAGAGTATCCACAAGTTTCCGAGGGGCGATCCTGTAAAAAATAAAGTGGGTGAAACTTCCAGTGAGGCGGCGGAAGTAGCATTCCAATGGTATTTTGTGTGTTAGTTAGCGAAGAGGCTAGCTGTTTTTCGGAGAATTATTTTACTATTTAAAGACGCAAATCTTTATGAGAGATGTCGTTACGGAGCTCAGGGACAACATGTGCTGTTCGCGGTTGTACGTATAACCGGACTAAACTAATTCAGTGGCTTAAACGTGATTGTTTTGAACATAAGCTGAAAACGAAATCAGAGTGATCCTGCCAACGACTGTAATGTTAGTTTCCATCACCTCCCAAAAGACGACGAATCTTACTGTGTACATTTGTTTAAATTCTTAATATTCTATAAACTCTCTCAGCATGTGATTGGCTGTTCTCTACTGATGTTACACCTAAACTCAGGATCAAAGCCTGTGTTGACAGAATACCAAATGTGCCAGTGAATGTATTCCAGTATCACATTCATTTATAATTTTGAATAAACTCCAAAGCACAATGACTAAGTGTGTATTTTTTATTTTAATTGTTTGTCAGCTCGCACAACTGTCTGTCACCATGCCTTGATGAGTATTGATTATTGATAATGTTATTATAATACTCCCAAATCAACTACTGCGGAGGGTAAAGGTACTGTTATTTCACCCTTTTTAATTTCATTGAGGTTGTGTTCCCACATCGTTAGCTAGTTTGGATCGCTATAACTTGAATGACTGTCAACTGTTGAATGAACGAGTGTCAAGCATGTCAAATCGCGCTTTGTTTACTTCCAACCGGAAGTCGCGCCCACTTGACGCAAGGCCTCATGGGGCGTAGGAAACTTGTGGATATCCTTCTATGTTTACATGCTGTGCTGTCATTCTTTTGAGCATTTTCATATGCCATACATCAAAATAATCCTTACTCTCCCAATTTGAATGTTATGTTTGTAATAAATCAATAGTAACCAGATAAATATCTAAAAAGTGCAATAAACAAAAATAAAATAAAAACAATTCTACATATTTTATTCAATACAAAAAAATGGATAAACGTCAGCCTCAAACTTGTCAATGTGAAAAACGTGCATAAAACAATTGAAAAACTATACAGAATTGATTTGAACTGTTCACATAAATTAGTTACCGAATTAGTTAAGATAAGCTCATTTTTACACAAAAGAGGGGGTGAAAATGCCATGTAAAATATTCAATTACATTTGTGGTCAAACAGATAACATTTTGCTTTTGAATTTTGATTGAACATTGAATTGGTTAAAATATAAAACAAATAGACGCTGTCAGAACAATTAATAATAAAATAAATACAACATAAATAAAGCCAATGAGCAGACGGCGGACGCAATTAGTATTTCCAAAACCTCCGTGTACTTTCGTTTAGACATAACTTTGCGTCTGTGTGTCTGTGTGAATGTGCTTGTATTTGCGAGTGTATAAACGAGAAAGACATGATAGAATGAAGCAATGGTAAAAAGACAATAACGGTAAGAAGGAACATATTGCAGATGGGTGTCAAATGGGAGTCAAACGCATGGTCAAATTACGCAGCTTTTGTCGTCACAACATGCGACACACGCTGGGGTCATAGTGCACAGAACATGATACGTCAATGCGCCATCGGAAGACGTAACTATCAATCGCAGATCTACAGAACGTGTGCAAAGACGTGCGATGCATTTTTGTGTATGTCTTTGTAAACGCATATTACGCAATTTCTATGGACTCATTAGAGGGTGAAAACAACGCAACATGAGCATGTTGGAGGCTTGATGTGAACATGTTACATCTCTGGTTTTGTATGCAAAAAGAATGATTGAGCTAGCCATTTGTTTTCAGTTTCTATAGGCTCTTAAACAGACACACGCTGGCGCTCCCGTCGGTCTTAGAGGGTTAAATCTCTTTTAGACTGTGTGAAAGTCAAAAAAATGGCACCTTTTGATGCTTTGCGCCAGGTTTAATATATTTGACACTAAACATCAGTGTTGTAGTCGAGACCACCTCACTCGAGTCCGAGTCGACACCGAGACCAGAGAGAGTCGAGTCCGAGTCAAAACCGAGTCCATAGAGAGTCGAGTCCGACTCGAGTCCGAGACCAGAGACGGTCGAGTCCGAGTCGAGACCGAGACCAGTGAGGGTTCTAATTTACTTTTTTTTTTTTTTTTTTTTACTGAATTTACTTAGAGTTTAAAAAACATGATCAGTTTAGGGTAAAAAGGCCACATAGTAGGTGGTGTTAAAAGTAATTTTACTACAATTTGTCATGCGCAGTTGCGCACTAGAAAATCACCAATCACTGGGCGTGTCAATCAATTTAAAGAAATATTTTATTAACATACATTAATAATCATGAAAAATATTTTTAATTGAACTCGAGTGGACTCGGGAATAATTCCGAGTCCTAAAAAAAAAAAATGTTCGAGTACGAGTCAATTCCGAGTCCAAATGGACACGAGTCCATGACAAGACCAAGACCATTAAAATATGGTCTCGAGACCGAGTCCGAGACGAGTCCGAGTCTCGAGTACTACACAACACTGCTAAACATAATTGCTTCTTATGTTTGTTAAGTGTTGGCTTCAGAAGACTTGGAATATAGGCCACAAGTCACATGAAAAAAACTTTTGTGAGGATTTCATGACGTTTTTTGGAGCTTAGCTGAATAAATGAAATTGTATCGTCTGGAAAAGATTTCAGACATTCTGTCTCCACATCTTGTTTTGTGTTTCAAAGAAGGAATAAAATAATACGGGGTTGTCAAAAACATGGGGTGAGTACATGATTTGTTTTTTATTATTATTCCACAAAGCTTTAATTGTGTTTAATGTAAATGAAGCTAATTTGGTAGGGCTTTGGTTCAATTCCCAGGAAGCAAAGAACTAATGAAATGTATACTTTGGATACAAGCATCTGCCAAATGAATATAAATGTAAAGTGATGCCGCATCAAATCTAAGATGAGTCACCTGGGGAACACTGTGCACCAGAAGATCTATTCCTTTCACTCTGGTCTCATTTAAAAAAAGACTACACAATAACTGGGTGAGCAATAAAAACTGAACACGCATACACCAAGTTTTCCTTTTAAAAAAGACAAAACACTTGTTTGAGTATGCGTTTTTTTTAAAACCTTGCTTTTTTTTTACCACAGATGTCCAAGAGAACAATTTCAGTGCTTCTCACCTCACTGCATTAGCTATTTGTTGGTTTAATCACCCATTTTAGAACCACTCAACTTAATATAGTGTGTATGTAGCTATAATGTGGAGTTATGTAGCTATTTCCCATTACCAATTAGCTGAGACATAATTGAGGCATGACACAAGTGAAAATTATTATTTCACTATGGGTGTTTTCAGACATGTAGATCATTTGCTTTAACAGGGTCTACAAATGTTACAATTTTCCTTGTTTTTTCTTGGTTTTGTTTGAAAAAATGTGTTTATGCATGTCACATTAGTAAACTGACTTCTCATTAGTCAGAGTACACCTGTTTATGTGACATCATCCATCTAAATGGACTGAAAAGTTAGTTCCTTGAGCTTATTGCAGTGTTATCTGTAGCTGTTACGCACACAAATATGAATATGAATGTAGCTGTCACCCCCCCTCTAACTGCTATACACTGTCCAGCCAAAACATATTTAAATAGGCAATTATAATGTATAAAAGTCTATGGTTGGATCATTATTGCACAGATTATTATGTTTCTAGCATGTTATCTATTTGGCAACAGTTATTCTAACCCAAACTGATGGAGTGTGTAGCTTTTCATTTCTTCTTAGACAACCATGTAAGATGGCCATATTCCAGGATGAAAAAGCCAAGATTCATCAGGCTCAGATTGTGAAAGAATAGTTGGGATGGAGCATGAAGAATCTTGACATTGTCATCCAGGAATATGGCCATGGTGTGGGTTGGGAGGGAGCACGAAGATTAATTTTCACATGAATTGGCACCTCTGAGTCCAGACCTCATTCATTTTCAATTCATTACAAGTCTTTTGGATGTGCTGGAGGAGACTTTACATTGTCAACACAAGATCTTATTTCTCTTGATGGAAATAAATGTTGTGATGTTCCCACCCACATAATCATACACTGCTACTTTTTACATTACATAACACATTTTCCATTAAAGGCCTTATTTTAACGATCTGAAACGCAAGTATCAAACGCGAAACACAAGTAACTTTGTTGGCACTGTTTCTATAATACATTTTATATGCAGGATAAATGACTCTTGTGCCCGACGCAAATCTAATATGGGTTGGTCTGAAGTAGCTTCATTACTCATAGGTGTGGTTTGGGCATAACGTGAAATAAACCAATCAAAGCATCATCTCACATTCCCTTTAAAAGCAGGCGCACTTGTTCCAATCGTGGATTGCTATTATAATGGCGGATTTGCCAGGCGTACGCACAGCCAAGGAGACAGACGTTGGGCTGTAAAAGACAGAGAAGTGATGTTGTATGGGGATGGGTCGATGGGAGAAACCCACCCAAATTAGCTCTGGTTAAACAGGCGTATAGTAATTTGGGTAAATGTGTAAGCTAGATTTATTTTCCTTGTAATTATGTATGGTTTGCAAAAATGGGATCTGCTGCATCTGTGTATGAGAGAAGCAAAGTGTATGCGCGTTGTGCACCCGCTACATTATGGCCAAGAATGCGCCCTTAAAATATCATCTGAATAACACGTCACTGACTTTAGACTATAGGTTTTTCCTGGTCAGCGGCCGAATTGTTTTCTGAAACTGCAAAATAGCACCAGGGGACGTTTGCACCAGAACAAAAATAGGAATGAGGTGCAAAAATAGGAATGATATATGCGTTGGTATAAGTCAATTGCGCTGGGTGCAAGATAGGGCCCTATGAATTATGATACAGCTTGATTTGTTGGTCCATTGGGTCAGATTTCTTTCTCACAACAACCAAACTGCTCCAGAGTTCATTTTCAGTCAGACTGAGATCACCTCATTTAAGCCATCTCTGACCAATTATCTTGGTTCCGATCTGCAGTGTATATATGTGCCTGAACAAACCAAACTAAGCGAGATAATGCATCCGGTTCCAAAACAAATGCTTTAAATGAGCCAGGTGTGAAAGTGCACTTGCTCTCATTAGAGAACTTCTTACCGCATCAAAGTCATCCTCATCCTCTTCACAGTGCCGCTCAGCCGCCCCAGGGTCTCTCACCACCCTCAGATCACCAATACGACCCTAATACACAAGCACAGATTGGTAAGCTTATTTTGATGGTAATGGCAGGTGTGGTGACATACAGTTAATGTTGAATGACAGCTGCTCATTAGAGACTGAATCCACTGCTCTTTTCATGCTAATGCCTTCCTCAACAGAAATGCTGGCAGTCAGATAACAATGTGTGCCTGATCTCTTACTTTTCAAACACATGGCTATCTCTCTCCATATGGGATTTCCCTTTTATGGTTTGCGGCATAATTTCCACACAGATGGGGATAACATTCAATACAATCCACCAAAACAACACATTCCTACATTCAATGGCTAACATACACGTCTCATTAAAAAAAAAGAAAATTCAACCATCGTTTTAATCACTCTCATATTGTTCAAACCTTTCTGACTTACTTTCTTTAGTGGAACACAAAAATATGAGTTTAGCAGAATGTTGACGCTGCTCTTTTCCATTCAATAAAACGTGAATGGGGTCCAAGAGCTGTCAAGCTTCGTAAATGACAAAAAGCACAATAAAAGCAGTCCATTTGAAGTCTTATGATAACTTTGAGAAGGAGCAACATTTAAGCCATTGTTCATAAACAAGGTAGCAAATTTACAGTATAATGACTTCAATTTTGGTTTGTCACACACAAAGCTTTCATGTGGCTCCAGAGTATGTGAAATATAGTATATGGACGACTGTTAAGGTACTTTGGTTGTGTAATTTTTTGGAGCATGACTGGTAACCATTTATGTTCATCAAGAACAGCATGAACATCCTAATATTTCCTTTGGTGGTCAACAAAAGAAAGAAGTATCTTCTAACTCTTTAAAGCTACACTGTGTAACTCTTTTAGTTTATTCTTAGCTAAAAACACTTAGTTCTTTCAAAAATATATGTGCTCATTAATGTATATTTACTTCATTCAAGTAATAAAGTATTCTCATGAGTGTATAATATGCCATTGAAAATACATACGGGTAATGTCGGTCGCCATGTTGACCCTCCATCTTGAAAGTACATTAGCCAAAGAGGGACATACCCGTTAATTAAAGCTTCGCCTGTCGCCTTTAATTTACGTTTGAGTTAACACTTATGGATGAGGTCGAACTGGATGCCATGTTAATCTTGGACTACATTGGCCACCGTAGGAGTTAAAACGAAATCGGAATTGAAAGGAACAGAAACTAATATTCACTGGATGGTCATATTTCACCGCTAGATGGGGGTAAAAATAACACAGTGTAGCTTTAAGCTGATCTCCATTCAAGATCCCTTTATTTGGGGTAATAGGAATTCTGGCTAAGTTACTGGTAAGATCTGAAAGGACTTCCCCTCTCATGTCTCACAAACCAAGGTCAGAGGTTTAGGAGCAGAATGCCGTGAAGGAAGCTTTAAGATGTCTTAATTGTCCTTTTGTGTCATGTTGTGACCTCCACCGAGACCCTCTAACAGCCCCAACACAGGGTCAGATTTATAGACCTGATTTCCCAACAGTTCTGCAGATAAGCACATGCTTTTAATGAGAGGGATGGAATAGCAATCATATCCTGCCTAATCAGGTCTGTAATTATGATGGCCATCTACTTATGGTGGAGTTCCCACAGGAAATGGAAGCCACATGAAACAAGGATTCATACTGAACCGAACAAGATCCATCTCCTTTTGAGTGGACATTATGAGCTCTGGGAAATATGAGGCATTCATGCTGCCTCAGTTGCCTCACTATGGTTATTGAACAATATGCTTGAGAGCACTAGCATAATTGCAGAACACAAGGCAGTATATTCAATCACATTTCTTCACAGATCAGCAACTGGTTGAGAATCTGCTGGCTTATATGAGTAGTATAATATAAAATAACTTGTTTAATGTAAATTAATTGGCTACATATTTATTTCTTTACTCTAAGATGATTTATGTTTAATATTAAGTTATTGAGAGGCACTTATATTTGTAATGTTTTCAATAAAATCTATTTTTATCAAGATCGTAACATATATTTCCTGTGATCCAGACCTTGAGTTTTTATTTAGGAACATGACAACTATGCCTCCAAATAAGTCAATATTAAACATAAATCATCCAGGAATAAGGAAATAAATATGTAGCCAATGAAAGTACACTGACTAAATATAACATTTCAAAATAAATATAAATAAACACATAGGTAATACATAGAATGTATAAATAAAAGTCATATTTTTATTAATTGATATATAAAAAATCTAAATGAATAATAATTTAGTTAAATCATACAAATAACAAATAAATAAATAGGAAATTGAATTGCACTAAATATTAAATTGCATTTCATTATATTACATAAATAGATGTAAAAATACAAAGTAAATGACAAATTAATTATTTAATGAAAATAATTCAAAATAAAATGAAGGGTAGCGGTCCAGTGGTTCTCACTAATCTGAGATCAAGATGTGGGGTCAGCTGCTGGACACTACCACACAAAACAAGCAGGAGCTAATTGCTCCCCTGTGGTTCCTTAATGCAATTAACTACTCTACTCAAACAAGGAAAGACGAGTGGACTATTTTACAACCACAGAATGCATGTTGCTTTTTTTAAACAGGCCAATTTGAGCAATCAAATCATGTAGGAGTCACTCAACCACGGCAATTCTATTGCACTTTCCCTTTTTCTAGCCTAAGTTAACCTCTATTTGACTTGTTTACACTGAGATACCATTATATTATATTATGGGCTGTGTACATACCAAAAACTTATCGGAGTCTGCTCCACTGGCATGGCCAACAAACACTCCGGCCCCGGCATCCAGGTCCATATCATCCGGGGATCGCTCGAAATTGATGACTTGAGGATCTGAGTCACATTTGAAGTAGAGGGAAACCTGCTCATTCAAAACACTGATGGAAAACCGGGTCCAGGTGTTCATCATGGAGGGCACGGAGAATCTGGCCGCCTCGTATGAACTCTGCGAGTCAGGCTCAGTGTAGTAGAAGATAATGTTCTGCTTGCCCCTCTCCACTGCCGACAGCTTCACACCAACATACATGATGTTCTGGGTTGGGTCACTGATGGAGAAGATGACGCCAGGCTTGGTGGATATGGGCATTATGTTGAAGATGAGGGAGAAGTCACGGTAGAAAGGGTTGGGCAGGTGGGCCGCAGCTGACTGTCCCACATTGGAGTTCGGGCCGAACACATAGCTCGGGCCGTTATCATTATCAAAGACTTTGGAGACGCCATCAGGTGGAGGATCGCCAATTAACTGTAACAGTGACACTCCACTTTCTTCTGTGGAAGGAAAGGAAAAGAATATGAAGGGACTTTACAAAGAACAATGCAAAAGTGAATTGTCAGGGATGGGCAGCAGGCTCGGGCTAGGTTAAAAAGCACTTTATTAGTCTTAGTGTAAAGTGTTCAACAGCTGTGATTGGAAATCAAGCAGTGAGTATTGACTTTAGTTGTGAAATCCTGTGAGAAAGTATTATTTTTGGCTGTAAATACTGTAATATATTAGATAGGGCTGGCTATCGAGTACAAAACTTTTTAGGCACCAACCGAATTGCCTCGATATCATCGAGTGTCTTTTCGTTCGGTTCCAAATTTCTAAACTATACAGTAAGGCATGATTGGCTGAGACGAGGCATTAAGGAAAAACCGATTCAAATCACAAACAAATACGCTCTGATAATGTAATCCAAATGAAGGGCGCATTTCTGCAGTGAAGAGATGACAAGTCAGCAATGTCAAATTCATCTTTGCAGCCAACACTGACTCAAAAAACAGTAGTTTAATTAAAATTGTCTCCTTGCTATTTTTTCCTGACAGTGCTTTGCGGCAAGCTTATGCTGTGTAAAAAAAAACAAAAAAAATAGTTTAAAAATAAGTCATTTTAGGTAGGCGAATGTATAGGGTAATATAATCTTGTTAAAACGGATTTCATAAAATTTGTATAAATAAAAAGTATCATTCAGGAACCGGTATCGAAGTCAAGGTACAAGTTTCAATACACAGTGGATTTTTTTTTTTTTTTTACGATATCCAGCCCTAATCTTTGGTGAGCTAAAGTTTTTCTTTATAGGGAAAATGTGTGAATTAAACAGGCAGCTTGTGCCTGGGAATATGGGATTTTTTTATATCCAGAAGAAAATTAATAAAACCCTTTAGATTTAACAAGAATGTACATTCATCGTCCAGTAAAATTTCTCAGTTTTAATAGAAAGTGACCCCTTTGTTTATTGTTCCCAGACTTTTAGAATGTATTTCACTATGTAAAGCAATGATATCTTCGAAGTAAAAATGTTAATGCTTAATACTATGTGAACACTCTAAAAAATAGATTTTATAAGACCCATGAGACTGCTATAAGTACTTTATACTTGACCCAAGAGGATATAAAACTAGGTTTGACCTGAGAAATGGCATTTTCATGCCAAATACTACAAATAAAGGTTTTTCCAAAATAAAAGTCATGTTATAAGCAGTTGACACAAAGTATTAAACATAATTTAATGATATTTTAGAGTCAACGAATTTCCCCCCTAAAAAAAGAACTCTAAAATACAGTACACTAAAGTTTTTTATACACTCTATAAAACACAATAAAATAAAACAACAACAACAAAAAAAACATCACTGGATTCTACTTTTTGCAGATGATTATATGTATAAAATTAAACTCAAGAGTGCTGGGTGAGATCAAAAGGCTTGCACTAAAGAACCATGGATAGAAACCTTCAAACTCATGCTAATATCACTCAGCACACACATATTTAGCTAGTTGTGAAGATAAGCTAGACATGGAAACATCACAGGCTCCATGTGCTGACATGTCATGAAGAGGAGGGAAAGGTGTGAGGTTACAGCTGGACAGCTTAAGAACCTTCCTGCACACACACACACAGACACACTGCATCTTCCGGGCAATTGTGCTTTTTTAAATATAGATAAGTAAGGACAGTGTGTTTCTTGCTAAAACATCCCTCCTTTTTCTATCATACGGAAGATGATTTTGTTTTGTTAGACAAAACATATGTAGCATGAAACGAAAAACAAAACAGTATCAAAACAAAAAAACGAAACCCTAACACCGTGTCCTAACTAAACGCGACGCGATAAAATTCCAGCGACAGCAAGTGTGTCTGTCCACACACTAGACGCGACGCGACCGTGAGACGCCACACGTCAATCAAAAATCAAAGCCATTCAGAACAGAGTCTCTCTGTGAAAGCGCACTGCTGGCCCGCACTCAATCAAGAAAATAATCAAGAAATAACATTATTAAAAATCAAAACATTAACAAAATATACTCACTGACTAATTTTGTTATGAAGTACAGTTGTATGTTTGCATAGAATTCATTTTGAACGCTATATTATATGCTAATCTGAGGTAAATTATCCGTTATCGCTTGTGGCACAATGACCTAATACCTTTGAACTTCGACAATCAGTTCCTCGTCATCCATGTTTGATGATTAAATATTCATGAGACGCAGAACTTCCATCCAATGAGATCTCTGTTCGGGCGGATCTCAGCCGCAACGTCGCAGAAATAAGAACCGTTTCTAAATTAGAAACTTTGCGTGTCGCCGTCGCGTCTGGTTAGGACAAAAACTCTGATTAACATGAAAAAGATACCTTTTATCGCGTGTCGCGGCGTCGCGTCACGTGTAGTTAGGACACGGTGTAATGAAACAAATCCAAACAAAACAAAGCAGCATGAAAAGAAAAACAAAACAGCATGAAAAGACAGCTAAAACAAACCCTAAAAAACTGTTATACCCCCTTTACATTATACTAATTCATAAATGTGTTTAGTAATCATTTGCAGGAACATAGAGAATGACTTTATGTTTAACTTCTAAAACTTCTGAAGCTGCTTTCACGTTGAAAAATAAATGTGAACCATGACTTGACTTTATAAAAGTTCTGAAAAAGATTACCAAGTATAACTCACAACCACATGGTCTTATTTATGAAACAAGGATCAAAGACCTTTAGGGGCTTACATATTAATCATTAAGTTCTTCAGATGGTGCTTTTTTGTTGTGAGTCGAAACAAAACACCTCTTCTTGCCTTTGTTGCACATGAAAGGATTAGAAAAGAAAACACCTTACGTTTGGTTTTGGTGTAAACCAAAGAACCAACCCTATTCTTTGGGTTGATTTAACAAGACACAGGAGAACCCCTGTTCCGAGTTTCACTAAGTAGCCCATGTCTTTAGATCATGACAGAATAATGACAAGCTTAGAAGAGGAGGAGCTTTTGGAGCTAACCTTGCATTCCTGCACATGTTCAGGTGTTGCTGTGTAAACAGCAGACATGCTAAACCAGCGTTCAGAATGGCTAATGGCCACATCAATACAAGACTACATTTTTCTGAGACATGTTGGGCTTGTGAAAATCACTTTAGGGAGACCAGAATCTTGGACTGTTGCTTTTCTAACAGCAGGCAATAAATTCTAATGCCAGAATCCAGATGTGTGTCGGGATAACATAGAAAAGTCCCCGAGGCCATGTGCGTCTGCTCTTGTACATGAATACAACTGCCCAGATATTTGACACTACCAACTATCATGAAGACTTTCAATATTTTTACAACTGAAAAGTGCTTCCATTTTTGGCAGCATCATAATTAGTCTAAGAGAGACAGAATGGTTTTAAAGCTAATGGATGCAACCGATTTACTGATGCATAATGTATTGGGGGATTTAGGACTAGACTTGATTTTATTTTTTGGGAATTGATTGGATTGAAATAAGTATGTTACATACCAAAAAAAAAAAATTAAAACATTTAAAATAAAAATATATAAATATAATAACAATTCAATTTGTTCACAAAGATCTTACAGAGTAAAGACAAAATTTATTCTTACTGAAAGTAAATCTGCACGTCAAAAAATCTGATTTTGTTCAAAAACTAACTAGTTTTAGTCTAACTTCTTTCTATGTCACACACAGCTGATCATGTGACTGATGTGGCATCCATACATTCAACAAACAAACCAACCTTGACATCAGTATGTGGTTAATGTTTTACTAGCCTGATTTTTAAGGGCCAACTTGTTAGAGTTAAATATTAGCGTTTTAAATAAAGTGTTTGTTTATCTTTAGATCCATCCTGGGGTTCTTGACCTCTTCGAAACTAAATACATTGGTTAAAGCCAAAATACAAACGATTACAGCTGCTATTACCTTTCTGAGCAGATTTATTACTGATAACACAAATATGATGTTAAACAACATCAACAAAGTAACCCATCCAAATATGACTTAAAGGAGTAGTTCACTTTTAAAAACTTTTGCTGATAATTTACTCACCCCCATGTCATCCAAGATGTCCATGTCTTTCTTTCCTCAGTCGAAAAGAAATTAAGGTTTTTGATGAAAACATTCCAGGATTTTCTCCATATAATGGACTTCATTGGGAACCAAACGGTTCAAGGTCCAAAAGACACTTTCAGTGCAAACTGTTCAAAGGGCTTTAAACGACACCAGACGATGAATAAGGAAACTAAGGTCTTATCTAGCGAAAAGATCGGTCATTTCAAAAACAAATAAAAAAGTTAAAGTTTTAGAGGCACAAATGCTCGCCTTGCTCTGTTCTGTGATGAGCGATCGTGACTCTCCTGTTCGAACTCGTTTATCAAAATGAACAAATCTTTTTTCGGGTCATGACTCGAATGATCCAAGATAAGACCCTTATTCATCGTCTGGTGTCGTTTAAAGCCCTTTGAAGCTGTACTGAAACTCTCATCTGGACCTTGAACCGTTTGGTTCCTATTGAAGTCTATTATATGGAGAAAAATCCTGTAATGTTTTCATCAAAAACCTTAATTTCTTTTCGACTGAACATCTTGGATGACATGGGGGTGAGTAAATTATCATCAAAAGTTTTTTTTTTTTTAAAGTGAACTACTCCTTTAAGGGCTCATGATAAATACTGAAGTCCTTTCTCAAATTATAGCTAATCAGGGCATACTTCATAAAGGGGCTTCCGAGTATTCGAGGCTTATCTAAATGACAAAGGGTCTTATAAAACTGAAATATTATTGACATCTGCTTAATTGTTTATATTGTTGAATAATGTATCTATACTGAACAAAATTATAAAACAAGACTTTAGTTTTTGCCCCCATTTTTCTTTGCCCCCATAGAAATATCTAAGACTTTCTGCGTTTTCAAGCAAGCAGTTTGAATGCCGTTTTCGAATCACGAATACGAAAAAAAACCACATACGAAAATTTCAGACTTAGACCTTAATGCAGAGTTCAGACTAGGGTTGGG